GTAATGTGTATACAGCTTTAGAAAAAGGAGTGTCAGTGTCTCAGACAGAACTAACAGGGAATTCCTCCTGTGTTACAACTCAGTGGCAAGCCAGGAAATTAAATGAAATAAAGGAACAGGCATTGAGGAAAGAAGGAATGTAGAAGATACCCAACCATTCTATACCAGAAGCCAGGAGCATACTATTCACAAGTTGCTGCTCAATTTCAATTTCAGAATGAGGATACGACATCATTTTATGTACAACTTTTCTTGTTTTCTTAGGGCTTTTGTTTTAAATTATATACTACTCTTTATTTATTCGTAGAAAGGTGCTCTAGTTATGAATCAACCCACTAATCAGATTAGATAGTGGACTGCATCCTGGTCACTGTCTCTTCGAGCTCCTGCCATCGGGACGGAGATACAGGACGATGAAGACAAGAACAAGCCGTCTTAAGAACAGCTTCTTCTCCAGAGCGATCTCGGCCCTGAATGGGAAGCCTGGACTTTGAAAGTCATCTAATCTTCCTTGCTGTTTTATACTGTATTGTTTTAATTAGTGTTTTTATAGTTGATTTGATTTTGTGTGGAGTGCCCTACCTGGGTGGATGGAGCAGCCAAGTAATCTCGTTGTCCCCGAGAGGGGGCAATGACAATAAAGATATTATTATTATTATTATTATTATTATTATTATTATTATTATTATTATCTTAAGAACCATGCAACACGTATCATACATCCCAGGGGCACTGCATACAAGATTGTGTTATGGCACAAGTGTCATTTGCAAGGAGAAATTAAAACATGTCTTTCTGTGCTGGCCAGATGTTGCAACTGTGCCCACCACCAATTATGCCCTTATATGATATTCTTTGGGACGCGGGTGGCGCTGTGGGTTAAACCACAGAGTCTAGGACTTGCCGATCAGAAGGTCGGCAGTTTGAAACCCCGCGACAGGGTGAGCTCCCGTTGCTCGGTCCCTGCTCCTGCCAACCTAGCAGTTCAAAAGCACCTCAAAGTGCAAGTAGATAAATAGGTACCACTCCGGCGGGAAGGTAAACGGCGTTTCCGTGCGCTGCTCTGGGTCGCCAGAAGCGGCTTAGTCAGGCAGGCCACATGACCCAGAAGCTGTACGCCGGCTCCCTTGGCCAATAAAGCGAGATGAGCGCCGCAACCCCAGAGTTGGTCACGACTGGACCTAATGGTCAGGGGTCCCTTTACCTTTATGATATTCTTTGGATTCTACTGCTTGATCTCAACAATTTTCTTGACGCCATCTGGATATAGGTAGAAACCAAGTGATAATGACATTTTTAGGAACTACTGTGCAGAAGGACAATTGTGAAGTTTCTGCAACTGACTATATGGGGGGGGGGAGAATGCTTGTAAACGACAGAGGAAATACTTGTGTGCAGAGTTTATACAGCATGATCTTTTACTGTGAACACTGCATAATTACCTGCAATTGACAGAAAATCACTCCTGACTTGCGTTAAGTATGACTCTGAACCTTAAAATGCCCTTCAAGTCAACACATTTTAGTGAATGCTAGAGATTGTATTTTTCTCTTTGACAGTAATGAGATTATTTTTCAGATCAGGCTTAAGGCCTTCTACAACACTGCATCTTTAAATGATATGCAGTTCTGTCCTATAACAGCAAATGTTGAAATGCAATTTAAAACTCTCCTGCCCAAGATACTTATATATACTGGATATTTATAGTCTCCAGCAACTTCTATTTGTATAAAGGTCATACGAAACTGACTTTTTAAAGTAACATTTATTAAAGGTACTAGCAAATTCTGTTCGCCCCACAAATAAGCAATCCACTCTTTACTGTCAAATAAAATGTGATAGTATTAATTCACCTAAAGGTCTCTATGCTATGTTATATTAGAAATGTCAGTGTCATCGGGAACACTTAATCTCAGAGTCATTTGTCTCTAACCCTTACGCATGATGTGCAAGCTTAAAACGTGGGAGCTTAAACCGTAAAACTACCTGTACTTTATACTACTTTTGTGATTCGGGAGTTCAGATAATTTTGAATCAATTGCAGCACATTATTAAATAGTCAGGGGAGCCAACTGCACAAGACTTTCCATCCTATGTGTGTCAATTGTCACCCCCCCCATTTTTTCCCTTACTGGTGCTTTTCACAGGTATGCTCTCAAACAGAAGTATTTTACTTTAGATGTACAGTCAAACCTTGGATCCCAAATGCCTCTGTTCTGGAACTTTTTGGCTCCCGAACACTGAAAATCTGGAAGTAAATGCTCTGGTTTTTGAACGTTTTTCGGAAGCCGACCATCCGACGTGGCTTTCGCTTGAGTGCAGGAAGCTCCTGTAACCCATCGGAAGCCGCGCCTCGGTTGTTGAACATTTCGGAAGCCAAATGGGCTTCCAGAACGGATTACGTTCAACAACCTAGGTTTGACTGTACTTATTTATTCATTGCCGCATGTAATGAAAGTGCTTAGTGACACAAAAAGGCAGTAAAATTACAAATAGGAAAAATACAGTGGTGCCTCGCAAGACGAAATTAATCCATTCCGCGAGTCTCTTCGTCTTGCGGTTTTTTCGTCTTGCGAAGCACAGCTATTAGCAGCTTAGCGGCTATTAGCGGCTTAGCGGCTATTAACGGCTTAACGGCTATTAACGGCTTAGCGGCTTTAAGAAAAAGGAAACAAACTCGCAAGAAGCAAGCCCATAGGGAAATTCGTCTTGCGGAACGACTCAAAAAACGGAAAACCCTTTCGTCTAACGAGTTTTTCGTCTTGCGGGGCACCACTGTAGCACCTATCAGATAATCTAAAACAAGCTGTATCAAATGTAAAAAAAGCAGCCACAGAGGATATTTCAAATTGTGAGCAACCAAAATGAAAATTGCAGCACATTATCTCTTGAATGAACCCACTGTACATAGGATGATGGTGGTACCTGGAGAAGGGCCTCAAGAGTTGTAAATGCTGTGCTTAGACAGACTAATATTGATGTGGGCAGGGAAAGTAATTCTCAAGATTCTCTGATCCCAAGACATTCAGGGCTGTACTTTGAAATGAGTCTGAAGTTTCTGAGCAGTCTTCAAAGGTAGCCAAACAAAGAGTTTCCTATAGTAATCTAACCTGAAAGTTACCGTGGTACAAATACATCATCCACACTGCTTAGCCGCCATTTCAGTGGTGAGTAACCTGAGATGGCTATGTAGATAGTATAGAAATGCAGTATTTTACTGACTGAAGTAACTTCCGGGGTAACTACTGTCGCTTGAAAGACTAAGTATGCCTATAATATGATATATGATATAGTGACCAGAAAGACTAGAGAAAGTTGATGAGAGGGGAGGATGGAAGGAAGTCAGAGATGATTTAGGAAATTGGCTTCTTCATAGTCATTAAGTTCCACTATGCCCAAGAGTTCTGAGAGATGTTGAAGTCGTATATATGACTGAAGACAAATGGAGTCCAATGCCAGGGATTACTCGAGAAGTCCTTAATTCGTGGATCACTATACCCATAAATAATATGGTTGTGTTTTACTTGCACATTTGGGATACCTTTTTAAAATATATATAAAAATAAATTTACATGATAAACCATATTGTCCTCTGAAAGAAGCCCTACTAGTTTATGGCGTTTAATGGATTTTGTACAAGTCCATTCATTCACAAATTATTGACATGAGAGCCATATCTGTGTGCCAATGCACATCTTGGGGATTGTAATCCATGGACTATTAAAAGGGTATTTCATAACTGGTTCCTGTTATGATACTATTAAAACCCACAATTCATGAATTATTGATGGGAGAGGTAATAATGGCTTGATGCTGTTATAACCTATAATAACATTGAACAAAATCCTTAATCTATGAAAAATTTACTCAGTGGACCAACACGTCTTCTAAAACTGTTCTGACATAAGGTAATAAAACAAGCACAGATCTAAGTTAGTTAGTTCCATAAACCATTAATTAATTGGACACAAAACTTAAGCTTCATAAATCATTAAATGTAGAAGTGTTCGCTTTCTTTTCAATATTTCTGCCTCAAATTTTTAATGGCACAGATTTTTTTAAATGTATTCAATTACTGAATTTACTATTTCATTCACAAAATCAAAGTCAATGCACTGGGTACAGAGGACAAAAATTAGATAATCTCGCATTGCCTGTCTTTTTATGTATTTGATTTGTTTCTTCATAATTCTGTCTCATATTTCTTCCCAGTGGTAGCACAAGGTGGTTATCAATTCAAAACGTAACAGTGTTTAAATGTCTTGCGCATGTTTTTTTAGGTGTGCAATAATTACTCCAAGTGCATACCCTGGTGAAGCATTAATAGACACTGGGATATCTTTGTCACCTGAGAATCTTGCTTCTTTTCCCTTCATCCCCTCACTTCCTATGATACTACTCCTTCTCCCATTTTGCCGCTGACTATTCCCATCTCCCTTCCCATTGCCAGAATGAAATGCACAGATAGGTAGGCAGATCTTTCTATAGGAATCTTGGCAAATCTTCCTTTCCTAACCAAATGGAACATGCATACATTTAATCACTTCAAATATTCAAGCAGAATACTTTCCCATGGGAAGAGAATTTCAATTCCTTACGAGACTGTAAGCATCAGAATCTAGAACTTTCCAAATTCCACACAAATGAGGGAAGGTACAGTCTTAAACATACTTATAGTGCCATTTATGTTGTAACCACCCTGAGACCTGTGGGTATAGGGTGGTATATTAAAGAAAGAAAGAGAAAGAAAGAAAGAGAAAGAAAGAAAGAATGAAAGAGAAAGAAAGAAAGAGAGAGAGAGAGAGAGAGAGAGAGAACCAGTAAGCCTGTTTAGGACTGCAGCCTTACTTGCTTGGAAACATTCCAATGAGGCTACTTTTCAATATCTGCGTTTAGGAATATAACTATCAGGGACAACATACAGTGAAGCTGGTTTATTAACGTGTCTACAATAATCCAGATGATAAGTGATTCCTGCCTCTAGGGAACTGGGGCATTACCTCATATTCTTGGGAAAACTTGAGGTTGTCATTAGCCTTCAGCCTTTCGATGTGATCCGCAAGTTCTGAAATAGGTATTGGTGGATGGCTAGCCATACCTGTTCAGGAAAAAAGAAATGACAACAGCATGTAAAAAACCCACACAATAAAACAGAGGGTTTGCAACCCAGACTTAGAAAACACAGCAGTTCAGAATGGCTATCAATGTGTAATAAGTAAGGATGTTGTAAGGTGACAGAAGCAGGCAGGTAGTTTAGTCACTCAAAGCAAGACATGCTCTGAAGAGATGAGCTTTGAAGCCAAATTACTAAAAATTTAAAATAAAAACCACCAAGCATATTCCCAAAGCTAACATTCCTAGTGTTAAAAGAAAAGAAAAAAAAGTTATTATGCCAAGACTTAATGAGGTTAGCTAGGTGGGGGGAAATGAGACAGTTAGACCTGAAGTTGACTTCTGCTTTGCGTAATGACTCTTAATGTCATATCAAATCCCTTTCCTTGCGCTGAATGAAATGGAAACTGTGTTGGACTTAGGTGAACAAAAGGTGGACTGGGGGGAGGGAAAAGCCATTCAAAGAAGCCTAAACGGAAAGAATAGTACTGACAGAAAATAAAGTGATTTATGAGGGAAACTAACTTGAAGAATGTGGGTTACCAGGGTAACCAGAGACACTTGATCCTGCAAAAAATAATTGCAAAAGTAAAAAAAAAAAGGAAAGAAAGGGATGGAGTGCGAATTTATTTATAACAAAATAAATAAATGGATAGTTTGATGCTTAGAAAATGATGGTTTTAATCTCAATAGAAAATGATGGTTTTAATCTCATGATTAAATAAGACAGGGGGAAATCTAATGATATTTTTTTTTGAAAAAATATTTTATAAAGTTTAGGACATTCACATGCAATTATGGATTGCCAGAGTACCATGCACTGCTGCTTACAGACAACAGTCAATAAAGACAAGATTAGACATCAGACATTTTGAGCTTCAAAAATGTTTTCACTAGTAGCAGATTGTAGAGGCAGGGGTTGTGGGGAGTCAGTTCAGCTGAACGCAAACATCTGGCTTACCCTAGTACATCTGAGAAAAGATCTCAACCCCAAGTCCCTTTATCAACCCCCAGAAATTACCTACAATCTACTTCAGGTGTAAACATCTTTGTCTACCAATGGAAAAATCGTGAATGCAGACAAGGTTTAGGGAAGGGATGGGAAAGAGACAGAGGGAAGGATAGGACTAGTGGAAGGGAAAGACAGAGGGAGGGAAAGACAGAGGAGAGAGGTAATGTGGGGTCAACTAGCATGATCTGTCAGCTGAAAATATTTGCAAATCCACACTCTCAGTGGCTATTTCTTTTCGGTTCATTAATATGGATGGTTTTCCACCCACCCACAATGTGTTTAGTTATTATTTATGTTAATTTTAATCATGCCAAGAATAATGATAATAAAAAGCTTGTTGCAGGGAGACACATAGTCAGCTAGAAATTGTTACACTAGCAAACCCCATGATGTGTTGAAATTATAGAACAAAACCATGGTAACTGAAGAGAGGAGCTCAAACTGGAAGCCATGTTTTCAGGGTTTTCCGGCACTCGTTTGAAGGGTGTGCTTTAAGAAAGCTAGCTTGCAATCACTGCAGCACAGCTTTACATGACACGAGCAGAAAATAACAGTACATATCATTCATAAAATGATTTTTTTGCTACATTTTTTACTTAGCTTAATAAAGTCCATGGGAAGGACCAGCAGCGTAACACTCAAATCTTGTTTTGTGGCATAGAGAATAGTACTGAATAATTGTATAGCCCAAGCAATTGCATACACAGTAGTTCTTTGCAATGTGTGGTCTGCACGCTTATACTTTTAAGGTCAAGTAAATCAGAAGAAGACCCCATAAATTGAGGAAACTACTTTTTGGAAGATAAAACTCTAATATTTTTCTTTATATGAATGTGATTTGCTATCTCCCATTTTCATCATGTGCAACAATTAAGCTGGTTTTCTTTTAAAGTAGCCGTCAAATTTATTTGATCCAGATCGAGCACCCAGATGAAAAGGAAGAGGGGAGAAAATAATAATGGGGAAAGGCACAAGAAAATGCTAGGCTTGTTCAGAAATGGAAGTTGAATGATGTAACATCTAAAACAGTGATTGAACAGAGAAAATAATAGAGACAAAGATGTTTAGACCTTTTCGAGCGAATCGTGGGAGAGAGTTATTATCATATAAGGACTGAGTGGTAGTTTGGCTAGAGAGAGAGGACACAGAGCCAATCAGGGAAGCGTAGGGGACTGAATTACTGCTCAAAGCTGTAAAAAGTAAAGCCAGTTGGAAACGGGAAAGAAATTAGTAGCAGTAGAAGACCATCATATTCAATCAGTTTACACAAAGACAAACGGATCATTTCACATGCACAATCTATCTATGGACATTTAGTACTGGCAGGAATAGGTAGAAATACAAGGCAACTCTAACATATGAACATACAGCTCTGAATCTGAGGGTCAGCCGACAGGAGAAATAGCTTTCCATATGGCATGGAAGTGTTATTTAAATCAGATTTTTAACATCAAGACTCCTCAACTTATCAAGCCCTTTTTTCAGGTGGATTTAGCTGTTTATACTGATGCATCTATGCTGAAAGAAGCACTCACCCCAACAGATACCACTATGATCTGCCATTTATATTTATCAGCATCTTCTGCAGTTAAGCATTTGAGGCTCATCAAAAGGTGGCATAAAATCTTTCTCTCTTTTTTTTAAACAGAAGGGATATAAAACCCAGCAACTTCCAGAATTAACCATCTGGTTATTACTAGAGTGTAGCTTTCTTAATTTTATGGCTAATGCAAACTAACTGCATTTCAATAATGTTTCATAGTAATCTCGTAAAAGGAAATAATTATCACCATACAAGTTTTTTTTTAGTTTTTTTTACTGCTGTCAGGTGACATGCTCCCACATTGCTACTCACAGATGATATCTGTTCAGTTTATAGGAGGGGTTTTTTTTGGGGGGGGCAGGACGGGCAACAAGTTACGGGGACACATAAATGTCAATGCCAGTCTTTGGTGTATGGATGGGCTTTCAATTGACAGTCATGGACTGTGGGTGGTATTCAACTATGTTTTACTCAGAGTACACTTACTGAAATGAAAGGATTGCATTTAGTAAAATTCAGTTTAATTCCACTCTGTCCATACATCAAGAGACCATGTTAACTCAAAATACTGTGCAAAATACAAAGAAGATTATTTAATGGACACATTTACATAATTATATATGTCATAGAAGTATCTTGTATTAACCTGTATGTAGACAAAACAGATGGGAAGATTTGCCACATGCTAGTAAAGCAACGCACTGGCAGCTATTTGCTTCTGAGCAAAGTAGCACTGGTTTTGATCTTTGAACCCTAAACTGTTTGGAACCAAGTTGCTTAAAATACTACCTATACCCATATGGACCAACCTCAGCATTAAGATCCGTTAGACAGGCCCTATGCTTATGATCTTCTGTAAGGGAAGTCAGCACGAAAGGCAGGAGAAACTGGGCCTTCTCGGTGGTGGGTCCTGTCTAGGGAAATTACTCCCCTGGAACCTGATTAGATTAATTTTAAGAGGGCCCTGAAGCTGTTTTTTTTTATGTTAGTCTGATTTTAAACAGGAGGGTAAGTCATTGTCTTTGTTCCTGTAGGTTGCTTCCATGGTTGTTAATTAGAATTTTAAATTTTAGGATGGGATGGCTGGCTGGAAAGGAAACAGTTCTGCTGCTCTTTCAAGTTTTACTATTTAAATTATAATTTTGACGTTGTGTTTCAAAATGTTGTAAATGCCACATTGAAAATACATTTATATTTGGAAGGAGGCCTAGAGGTCAAATAAATAATAATTTAATTTTTTGCAGTGATATTGAAACCCTACAAAAAAGTAAACCATGCCTTCTTTTTCCCCTTGACAGCATGCCAATTTTACAATGAATATAAAGGAAGAATGCTACACACAGCAGTACAAAGGCACAGCAGTGAAAGCTGGCAAAATTCAGCCCAGAAAGATGCATGAAAGATCTACTGCACCTTAGTGCTGAGAGCTAAATATTCACATTTGCTCACCTCCCACTGATACTTAACTAAGAGAGCAAACACATCCTAAAGTCTGATTCACACTTTATACTACAGATGTGTTCGCTGAGTGTACACCAACATCTCCTGGTAAACACTTTAAAGTAAACACACACATGGGAAAGCTCTGATCTGCTACAGCTCCCTGCCATGGTCTTCTGTGATTTATGAACACATGCCTTTACATTCACACTTTGAAAGGCAGACTAAGGCAACAACTGATATGGAGTGTTATATTTGTTATAGTGTTATAGCTCAGTAAAACTGAACAGGAATCAGACTCTTGCGGAAAACTTATTTCTAACTGGGGATGTGTGTATTTTCCTTTAAGGCATTATTATTATTATTATTATTATTATTATTATTATTATTATTATTACCGTATTTTGCGCCCCATAGGACGCACCGCCCCATAAGACGCACCTAGTTTTTTTTTGGGGGGGGGAATAAAGAACAAAAAATTTATTTCCCCCCCAGGCTTGGGGCTGGTGCAGGGGAAGCCTGAGCTTCCCCCGACCCAAGCCCCCAGAACAGGCTGCTGCCTGCAAGCCTTGCGAGCCCGGCGGGACCTCCCGCCGGGCGCGGGAGGCTTGCAGACACCTTCCCAAAGCACAGGGCGTCCTCCGGAGGGCGCCCCATGCTTCGGAATGCAGGCTGCTGCCCCAAGCCTCGCGCGCCTGGCGGGACCTCCCGCCGGATGCGGGAGGCTTGCGGGCACCTTCCCGAAGCACGAGGCGTCCTCCGGAGGCCGCCCTGTGCTCCGGGCTGCAGGCTGCTGCCCGCAAGCCTTGCAAGCCCACGGGAACTCCCCTGGGCTCGGAAGGCTTGCAGATAGCTTCCTGAAGCCTGGAGAGCGAGAGGGGTCGGTGAACTTCTGTTTGTGTATAGCTTTTGCTTATGCTGCTTGCTCTTGGACACGAAAGGGAGAAGACATGTTTTTTCCTTTGTCCTGATGCTTGTAAATATGCTTTACACAGCGTCTATCTGCCCTTCTGCTGCGAAGAGTTTTATTCTCTGCTGGCTTGCGTGCTCAGCTTCTGAAGCTCGAGTCGCAGTTACATGCTGATCCGAGGACTGGAGTTTGCCTGGCACTCGGCCGGTGGGCTGGAGCCAGCTGGGGGCTTGCAAATTGCCCCCGTTCCCTTGGAAGCATCCCAACAGTTTGTGCCTGTTTCTGCCAGGGGGACCATGCCTGGTGCTTCAAGCTTGCCTTTGACACCCACCCCTTCCTGGAGAGATCCCCTGGAGGGGAATCTCTGCTGGGCATCCTTGTGGGAGAACCTGCCTAGGGGGCCAGGGGCACACAATTCTCAGAGGAGGAGATTGTGTTCTGCCCTGCACACCTACGGGGGCTGGAGGAGCAACAGCTGCTGCAGCACCCAGCTGTGTGCCTTTTGGGAAACATTAGAATCAAGGGGATGGGCCGGGCAGAGAGAAACAGACTGTCTTTGCAAGAAAAAATGGGTGTGTGTGTTGCAACTTCCTACTCCTTTTCTGATCAGCATTTGAGGAAGAGGAGGAGGTGTTCAAATGAGGTGAGGGGTGAAGGAAGCATCTCCACTTAGATACCTCCCACTGCAAAAGCTTGCCCCCCCCCATCATGCCCAGCAGGGATTGTTTTATTATGATGATGCATTGTTTTATTATTATGGGCTGCATACAGCAATAACAATAATAATTTATTACTTACACCCAGTGCTTTTTTCTGGTGGTACATACTCTAGCAACTTCATGGTGAGTACTGCCACCATTTTTTTTTTGTAGAAAAAAAGCACTGCACAAGCATATTCAAGTCTCCATGTTAAGAACCTTTTTTATTTTATTTTTTACAAGCCACCCACCTAAACTCTTAAATTCCATTTTCACACAACAGCCACACTAGGGTAATTATAATGTATGCCAGTTTCAAACAAACATTCATGAGGACCAAAGATGAAAAAAATTTCCCGTGATATTTATTTTTAAAGCGCAGGTCTGAAGACAGTGATCAGTTTACACTAAAATGTGGTAACAGCCCAGGGATTAGGAACCTATAAATATTGCATTATTTGCTGTCTGGTATGAATAGACCCACATAGGCATAATGTGAACACAATGAAATACAGCAACGTATTTATGATCTATTTTGATCTACTATGGAAGACTAAGAGAAGCCAAGAAAAAGTGTCTCTGCAATGGACACATTTCCTCTCCTTCAGACAAGCGCAGCAGCAGCAGCTATGATGTTCACACCAGGACCCTGCATGTTTGCTCTTTTGTCATAAGCCATAGTTTGGGCTGAGCATTTTGTGCAATCAGGGGCACTGAGCTGCAGCGCATTCTGTTGGTTTTGTAAGGAGGAGAAGGGAAGAAGTGTAGTTATTGTGTTAGGTTCACTGCTAGCTTGAAAATCATCATGGAATAAAGGTGAGAGAGGGTGAAAGAATTACTACAGTGTAAAGCTGTCGTCAGTCCAGCCTCCCCTCTGAAATCTCCTTAGGAACTTGCAACACTTTCTAGAGAAGAATGTGTTGCGATCTTGACTCCTTTCCCTCTGTGCTCTTCATTTGACATGTTTTCACTGCTCTTTCATATTCTCAATGGGTGTGGAAAGTGTTAAAGAAAGCTAGTAACCTATAGATCAGAAAAAAGAGGGGAAGGGAGAGAAAGCTTATTCTGATTCTTTTAATATATATTTGAGGCAGAAGTGGGAAATTATACCTTTGCACTTAACAAGGCACTGCAATGAAATCTGATTTATTTAACCTAGAGTGATCTTGTGTGTGTGGCATGTGAATGCTCTTGCTTGTATAATTGTGTGCCCTTCTGCTACCACAGACACAATGGATCAGGCACTTAACTCTTAACTTCTCTGTTTTTTTCCGCTGAAATTATTTGGTGGTGCCAAACAAAAGAAACACAGAGATATACAGAGGCAAACCATACAGGCAGGACAATAGCTCTTCTGAAAATGCTGCTGAACTACTTAAACAAAGATGTCGCAAAAGGTAAAATTATTCCCATGACTTTCTTCTTAACTATTACTCTTATGGCGAATTCACACATGACTTTAAATCTCTGGACCTCTTTCCTTCAGTGACTCCCCACTGAATATGAAAACTGCTTCCATTCAGAAGTACAGTGTTTGATTTGATGTAATGTGACATGAAAGCCCTGCCTGTGGGATTTGATCTCTTATGGTCGTTACACACAGGCAAGTTATCGTTCAACGTTGCGACCATGGAGTGAGGAACATGCATGAGTGAATTGACCCTTAGAAAAAGAACTAAGTAAAAGCAGAGTTCTTGTAAGAGCATGATAGATTTAAATCTTAACATTGATCAGAAAGTACAGAGGCATTACTTACAATATGTGGACAGGAAGCTACAGTAGTACCTTGGTTTATGAACTTAATCCATTCTGGAAGTCCGTTCTTAAACCAAAGCATTCTTAAACCAAGGCATGCTTTCCCATAGACTCAATTTACAAATGGAACACACTCAACAGGAAGCGGAACATGTTCTGCTTCCAAGGCAAAGTTCACAAACCAAAACATCTACTTCCGGGTTTGCAGAGTTCTTAATCCAAGTTGTTCATAAACTAAGCTGTTCTTAAACCAAGGTACCACTGTATTTCTATGTAGAGGCCAATGAAGGCAAACATAGCCAACCCCTTAATCAAACACATTTTGTCGACCCATTTCCTCTTCTCATGTTTTGTAATATTTTTGGCTGGTCCTGTACAATACACGTTTCATTGACACTACATACACCATGGCTAAAACTAATCAGGTTTACATCTCAAGAGGATTTTAAGCTAGGGGCTACTCCTGGATTGATTGCTGTCACCTGAAGCTCAGGTGGCCTCAGTGGCATAGAGTGCCTTCCATTGGCTTCAGCTGGTGGCACAGCTGCACCCATATCTAACAGCAAAAAGCCTAACCTCTGTTGCCTATGTTCTGGTAAGCTCTAGGTTAGATTACTGCAATGCGTTAAACATGGGGCTGCCTCTGAAGATGGTTTCAAAACTTCAGTTGGTGTGGAATTCAATGGCCAGGTTTGCTCCCCAGGGAAATACAGTTTGAACATATGACAATCCTGGTCCAACTACACTGACTCCCATTTATTTTCTGGGCCCAATTCAAAGTGCTTGGTTTGACCTATAAAGCCTTAAACAGCTCAGGACTGCAATACCTCAAGTACCACATATCCCCATATGAACTGACCCAGAACAACATAAAATTGCCCATGTTTCTGCGCTCCGCCAGGAGAGGTCAGGAGGGTGGCAACATGAGAACAGGCCTTTTCTGTGGTGGCTCCCCATTTGTGGAATGCTCTCCCAGGAAGGCTCACTTGGCACCTTCTTTACAGATATTCAGGCACCAGTGAAAACATTCATCTTCATCAAGTCCTCTGGCTTATTAAACAATCTAAATGTGTTGCGATGGTTTGGGGTTCTTTTTCTTCTTCTTTTTTTTGCTATTATGTTATGTATTGTGTGTTTTTATTTTTATGTTGTGAAAAGCCCTGTAATAGGTGGTATATAAATTTAATCAATCAATCAATCAATCAATCCAAGAACTGCCAATGTTGTGCCCATGGGCACAATGGTGCTCATGTCTTCTCCTGTCTGACACACCCCCTCGCCCTACTCCACTCAATGCCCCCATGACCATGAGGTGGTAAGGATAGTGATGGTTTATGCCACTGAAAAGTACAGAGCACTGAAGGAGGAATTTGGAAGAGTGACTCTCTTTCCTACTTCTTCTTTTGGTTTGATGTGCTTTTCTACTAGAACCAACTTATGTCCAGATCCCAAAAGAACTGAAATATGTGCATGCATGCACACTTCTTCTTATTCTCTCTCTCTCCCTGGTTGATACAGTGGGAAGGGAACAGAAACTGCCGGAGGGTGGCACCCACGGTGTTCACTCACTTCAAGTTAAGGTGGTTAGGTTGGTCTCAACTAGGGCCAGGGCCTTTTCAGTACTGGCCCCGACTTGGTGGAACGCTCTGTCACAAGAGGCTAGGGCCCTGTGGGACTTGACATCTTTCCACAGGGCCTGCAAGACAGAGCTGTTCCGCCTAGGCCTTTGGTTTGGACTCAGTCTGACCCTTATGTTTCCCTCCCCTTATGGTTTTGACTTTTAAATTGAGTCTGCATTTTAAATTGCATTTTAAGCAGTATTTCAAATTGGTTCCCCCCCCTATTATGTTTTTACTGTAATTTTACTCGTGTTAGCCACCCTGAGCCCGGCTCTGGCTGGGGAGGGCGGGGTATAAATAAAATCTATTATTATGATTGTGATTATAATTAAGTGTTCCCACACATCTAACCATGCTGGTGACCTCTGAATTAATTAAGCATTCTCCATCTCATTTTTATCCTACAACAATTGTCAGATCACAGACAAATACTGAAGAGTTTTCGTAACTCAAAAAGAGAGAAAGGAAGTTTTGCATCTTACCTGGAGTCTGAAAATTAAGGCGCCGTAGCTCTACTGGATCTGTGGGGTGATGGGAAGGAATCTCCTTGTTGTTGGGTATGCTGCTCTTTCTAGAGTCCGTCTCTGCCCTTTTCCTACATGGACAAAGTGAGCACCGTCATTAAGAAGTTAAATTCACCATTTACAAAGAGATATATTTCCTCCTATCCTTTCCCCCCCATCTCCGTATTTTAAAACGCAGTGGGAATACTACATTCTGTGGGATTCATTTAAAAAATGCAACATTTTAAAGAGAGTAAGCTGCACACGGGACGCGGGTGGCGCTGTGGGTAAAACCTCAGCGCCTAGGACTTGCCGATCGTCAGGTCGGCGGGGTGCGCTCCTGTTGCTCGGTCCCAGTGCCTGCCAACCTAGCAGTTCGAAAGCACCCCTGGGTGCAAGTAGATAAATAGGGACCGCTTACTAGTGGGAAGGTAAACGGCGTTTCCGTGTGCTGCGCTGGCTCGCCAGATGCAGCTTGTCACGCTGGCCACGTGACCCGGAAGTGTCTTCGGACAGCGCTGGCCCCCGGCCTCTTAAGCGAGATGGGCGCGCAACCCCAGAGTCGGACACGACTGGCCCTTTACCTTTACCTTTAAGCTGCATACAGAAACTGGGGGAGGAGCTCAGTGTACTGCTAAGCGGTTCGCTCCATCAGTACAAGCATTTTCTGCTAGCCTGATGGAATGATCTGACCTCTTCTTCCCCTGCATGCAACTATATAGGGGTTTTCTTGGCACCCATAGAGACAATTAGGGGGTGCATAAGAGGAGGAGATGCAAGGAAGCCCTATTGCCCTAGCTTCAGCTCCTTCTGAGGGCTTCTGCTGGCAGGACTAGTCAGCTGAATCTGGCCCATATTGTTTGGAATTAATATGATTTACGGAGCAGGAAATCTTCATGCATGTAGTACCTAAAGTCATCATTACAACCAAGTAAAACTGGGGTTTTCCTAGGATTATTTATAGAAAAGAAAGAGCTCCTTCTTCAGTAGCACCTCCCAACTAAATGTGGAACTAAAGGAGGTTGATAGTCAATAACCGGCCAGTTCCTCTGCAGCTGTGCTTCCTGAATAGCACCATTTTGGAAGGAAGCCAAGTATTCTTGCAAAATTGATTCTATGATAGAGAAGGCCAACATGAAATATTAAAAGGAGTTGACACTAGTATCCCCCCCCCAAAAGGGAAACATTCAATTTTGAAAGCTGTTTTAAGGCATCTTCACTTCTTATGTACCTGGCCATGTTTATTTAGATTGGCAAACACTATGTATAATAAACCAAGTTAGGAAAATAGAAAGCTACATCATATTGCATAAGACAATTTAGGAACGGTTGTGGCTCAGTGGTAGAGCATCTGCTTTGTATATAAAAGGTCTTCAGTTCAATTCCAGGCATCTCCAGGTATGCCTGGGAGAGAACTCTGCCTGAATCCCTGGTGAATTGCTACCAATCACGGTACTGAGCTAGGTGGACCAATGAGGTAGCTTCCTATGTTCCTATGCGTATCTAGCCTTGTATTTTATCTGCAATGACTAGGACCAATTCTCCAAGGTTTAAGGCATGAGAAAGCCCTATCAGAATATGACTGGGTAATGCACCTGGGACCTCTTGCATGCAAAACCTGCACTGTCCTACAGAGACATTTTATGTAGATTGGTTTTCTAGGTTTCCCCAGTAGGAGAGCAATTGTTCTTCACTTCTCACCTGTCAGGTTTACTGCTCCATTATTATGCAGCGGAAAAGGAGGGGAAAAGGTTAAATGTTAGTCGGCCAATGGCAAAAGAATTACCGTGACAATAGAAAATGGTGTTTGCAATTAGGATGCAGAATGTAACAGCCCATGAAAACATGAAAAATTTTCTAGTCATAGAAAAATATGGGGGCACAGGGTACATTCAAAGGAAGTACTTCATGGCTGAAGAAACTTAAGCAACATTTGGATTAGTTTTGCTTGAGAGAGAGGTTGTATCAAAGGCATTCTTTTCTTAAGGCATCTCTGGGAAAAAACCAAGGCCACAATATACAGCATATCAGGAGGTAGGAGATACAGTGGTACCTCGCAAGACGAATGCATTGCAAGGCGGAAAACTCGCAAGACGAAAGGGTTTTTGGTTTTTTGAGTTGCTTCGCACGACAATTTTCCCTATGGGCTTGCTTCGCAAGACGGAAACGTCTTGCAAGTTTGTTTCCTTTTTCTTAAAACCGTTAATACTGGTGATTTTTGAAGCTTTTCCAAAACTTTTCCAACACCGTGCTTCGCAAGACGAAAAAATCGCAAGATGAAAAAACTCGCGGAACGAATTAATTTCGTCTTGCGAGGCACCACTGTACTGAAAGTCTATTATTATTCTATTTATTTATATCTTGCCTTTTTCCCTGACAGGGACTCAAGACGGCTTACAAATAAAATAGAAACAGCTAAAAACATAGGGGAAAAAATCATCATTGAAAACAATGATCTATTGAAACATACAGGTCGTTAAAATATCTTACTTGGAAATATATTACTCTTGGGGGAAAGTCAACTGAATCTTTGGATATATATAGACATCCAACAAATGCGTTATTTCAAAAAATTTACAAAATCTGATCTGAGCTGCATTTATAAAAATACAGCCTTTTATACTTTTTATTTTTTAAATTCTACTTTCACATCTCTTGGTTGCAAAGATTCCAAAGCAACCACTAATCACCTCAGAGTAGCATACCCGTCAACTGCCCCCCAAAAACCAGGACATCCCATTTTCCCCTGCAAGAGGGGCAGGTTGCTCTCATGCAATTTTAGGTCAAGATCTCAATTCCCACTCCCCAAAGCATCCCCCCCCCGTGGTCTGGGATCTTGTATGACACCACAAAACACACGTTCGAGGGCTCCGTGCCTCCCAAAAGCACTTTTCCTGAGTCCACAATTTTGCGTGGATTACGTGTCTCTCAGGAGATTTTGGACCTGGAAGATGTTGTCCCGTATTTGGGCCACGTCGTGTTGGAGGGTACGTAGGAGCAGTGTGGAAACCCTGGCCTCTGAGCTGAATTAGGTCCTGAAGAGGTTTCAATTCAGCTTCCATTGCTACTTTCCCAAGTCACACCCACCTGCCCCATACCTGATGCAATATGTGACATCAAGTATGGACTAGGTGAGGATGCAGCTCTCTGCTGAAAGCAAGGTTTGCAGGCACCAACGATCAGCGGTATAAAACCCAACCACACAGGCAAATAGACAGAGCTTTGCAGGCACCACAGATTAGCTTTGCAGGGCCCTGTGCTTTTGTTACTGCAGTCTGATTTCAAACTACGTGGGCACAGCAAAATGCTTCACTTGATGTCATGGAGACATCAGCTGATTGACAGGCAGGTAGACCCATCCTCCTTACACAATTGCCCACAAGAGGCGGGAGAGCGAAGCATCTGGCCTTCTGGCTGAAAACAGTTCTCCACCCATGCTTTAAGAGAGATGAATTGATTAGAATAAATATCATGATTATGATAATATTATGAACTGTGAGAATAGGATATGCTAGGAGAGCAAATGCCACAGGAGGTAGTTCAGTTGTGCCGATCAGGGCCGGACTTCGGTGCAGGTGCTCACTCACAGCAGGTTTGGCTTACCACATTTTGAAGTTAAGTGCTAATGCCATCCGAAAAGATCAGTGAGCCCGCAGTCTATAATTACCTAACTGCACCAGTGAGATTAGGGACGTGGGTGCGCTGTGGTCTAAACCACTGAGCCTAGGGCTTGCCAATCGGAAGGTCGGCGGTTCGAATCCCCACGACGGGGTGAGCTCCCGTGGCTCAGTCCCAGCTCCTGCCAACCTAGCAGTTTGAAAGCACGTCAAAGTGCAAGTAGATAAATAGGTACCACTCTGGCGGGAAGGTAAACAGCATTTCTGTGCACTGCTCTGGTTTTGCCAGAAGCGGCTTGGTCATGCTGGCCACATGACCCAGAAAAACTGTCTGTGGACAAACGTTGGCTACCTCGGCCAGTAAAGCAAGATGAGCGCCGCAACCCCAGAGTTGTTCACGACTGGACTTAACTGTCAGGGGTCCTTTACCTTTACCTGTGACATAGCTTAAATTTTCCACCATCTAAAAATCCACATCTAAGTCCCTTTGCCTCTTGTTCCACCTTGTATGTTAATATCAGATGCTAAATATTTTTTATGAACATTTTTGATGACCGCAATCAAAAAGCTACACTGCCATCCACCAAGTCTTTGTTTTTAAAATCAACTTGCCACTTAAACAATAAGAAACACAAATTTCCCCACCTGCTGAGAATATCTGGATATCTAGAATATCTAATCTGTTTTTACTGCAATAAATGCAGAGCCGTAACTAGCTGCTCGGGCCCCCAAATCATTCATGTTTTGGCTCAACATGCCGATTTCAAGCTATACTGATTTTAGACCCTTCCATTGCAAGGGTGAGTGTGGTTTATTTGATATGCATTTGAAAACTCTCCCCTTGATAAAATTATCTCAAACTTTTCCTCCCTGCACATGCCACAGACGAAGGAAGATGTAAGTGCTCATTGCGATCTTGGTATATGTCTGATTTTATAGCTCACCCGAGTCATGTACTTGCAGAAAGGAATTCACACAATACCACATGTAACTGCCGTACGCACGATGTACGCAAAACCAAGAAAATCCTATTAAAGGAAATTAACTGTACACTACTGTATATGAGTTCCTTCTCCAAATGTTACTCTAATTATGATAGAAGATAGCTAATGGAGAAAAAAATGTTATTGGGCAGCACTATATAAATATACTAAGTAGATAAATAAAAGGAATTAAACAAAGCTCTGAAATATGCACATCAGTTGTCAAAATTAATGTCCGACTTGGTTCAAAATAATTGATTGCTCAGGCCCAATCCAGCTACATTTTAAAAATAGATTTCATAACACTAACTGACATTTCTTCCCTCTAGAACTCTGAGAATTTCCATCTAGTGGTTTATCCTGGTCTGTGACTGTAATAAAGTTCATTCATTCATTCATTCATTCATTCATCTAGTGGTTGTGGCTCTGTTTACCTCTCTGTGCTCTGCTTATATATTTGGGTAAATAAAGCAAATATTACAAAGCCAGCCTAAACCTTCAGTGCTTTCCCTAGTTCAAAGGAAGATAAACCCTTCAATGTTGATACTAGAAGTTTCCACAGCTCAGACGTTCTTTGTGCTTAATAATATTGTCCGAAATCTTGTGACAAACTTTTTCACCACTAGAAAGTAGTACTAGTGCATAAAGAACACATTTGCAAAATATGGACGTATTAAAATTATTTCTTGTTACACCATGTCAACCAGCTGTTGTCCCTCTCCCACTGCACCTTGGATGAACCACAAAGCACTGATTTGCAACTTGATTTGTAGACTGCAGCAAACTTCACAACAGCTTCTAGTTTTGCCATGATTCTCAAAAGCTGAGGTGGGTCTGCCATTTCCAGAGAGGAGCTCCATCTCTTTCAGTTATCTTTCAGGGGTGAAAAAACAACTATATGTGGTTGCCTAGCTAAGCAAAACATAAAGGAGACACACTCCAGTCTCATAAGGTTCCTGTTTTTTGTTAAAATGCACATTCTTGAGGAGAATTGTTTGAGTGCATAGTTATATGTGCTGGTTTATGTGGTTTTGCATGTTTTGTTGCATTAATAACAATGTTGTCCCTTAAGCATTATCGTTCTTTTAATTGTGTTTTGTCTATAGCTCCTGGTGAAGGAGACTTCTACAAAAAAACACATTGAGCTCCATAAACATCTGTTTGCCAGAAGTACTGGAGCTTGTTGCCTTCTCCTTGGTGAATTTTCTCTCTTTCTGCCAGCTTGGCTAAGGCCAGGGGATGTTGCCAGGTTCCCACCATTCAAGTTCATTTAGTGCTTTAAACTGGAGGTATTGTATGGTTATCGCTTGACTCATCATTAAGTGACAAAGGGAGAGGTTGGTGGAAACACTTAGGAAAATGCAATCACTTAGTAGTATGACTCAAACATGGCCAGCAGAACTGAATGTATTAATACTTTATCTGCATATTTGATGCCTATTTAGATGCAGGTATTTTTGAAATGTAGGTACAGTACAGGACGACCGCAAATCTATACCAGATTACATGGGAGTAAGCTTCGCCAAACCCAGTGTAACTTACTTCCAAGCAGGCTTACAAAGGACTAGATTTGCATGGCTGAATTGTACTTGTGGTACTTACAGCTATGCCACAAGTATCGGAGAAAGAAATTATTTATTTTGCAAATTTATCAGTATTATTAAAACATTTATATGCCCCCTTTCAACACCAGCTTTCAGGGTGGCTTACAAAAATCCATAATAAAACAACAAATAAAAACACTCCATTTTTCAACATCATTGCATACTGGGCTGGGACTAGTTGCCTTAACTTTGGATGATTCTGGAATATGGGTGGAAAGATTCTGAAGCCCAACTGGTAGGGGAAGAAAAAACTTATGGGTGGAGCCTCACAGGACAGGCCTGGGGGATGGAGAGTTGCTGTAGTTGCTAAGAAGTTTACCTTTTGTGAAAAAGCTGATGGATACATCTTTGCCTGATATGACTTCTGAAAGCAGAAGCTACTGCTACTCTTTTTCTGTATCAGTAACTGAGCATATTTAGCATGCAGTCACCTTCCTAGCATCTTTGCTGAATTTATTTATTGTGGTTTATGGCTGGGCATTAGGATATTGGATTGTTGCTGTGAAGCAAGACACATGTGTCAGACCAACTGTATCCTAACAAGAGAAATGCCCACAACTTGGAGGTCACTAGGAAAATAGGACGCAGTATTTGGAATTAAGTTCATCCCCAGAAGGGCGAATAAAACTCATTCAAAATGCACGTATTTAGCTGCGATCCTAGACTTTGGGGTAAAGTTTCCTTAGAACTGGACAGTATCCACTGGTTGAGTTTTATTAAACTACCAGTTATCTATAGTATGGTTCCATTCTTTGCATTTGAGGAAATACTTTAGTTCTTGCTACCTCTTGAATGTGTATGCATGGAAGCTTTTGCCCAGATAAGCTGGTGTATCACATTTCCTGTAGACATGTCAGAAAGAAAACAATCCCTAAACTTTCTCACCTAGCCTTTGGTTCTAACAGAAGGGTTACAGTGCCAATGGGGCAACTCAACCTTGTGAAATTATTGCTTCCTATTTTTATTTTGCATCTCTACAGAGATCTAGGAAAGACTTCCAGGCCTCTCAGAAGTCTATACGCAGCCAAATGCGCCTGAAAAACCAAGGCTTGTAATAGAAGGATTTTGCGTATCCGAGACATAACAGCTCGGATGAGAAAGGTATCCGTAACTGATGAAACTGAAGAGAAAGGCATCTGTAAAAAGAATCACATTTCTTTCTACCCCAGGAATGACTAACATATCTAAACTATAAACTATTTTGTAAACTTACCTTTTGTAAAGGAGTATAGCTATAACAATACAGATGATAAACACAACTGCAAGAACTGGTCCTACAACCCAAATCAAGCCTTCTTCTTCATCTGTAATTGGCTGGGGGTTAAGATCCACTGATACAACCGTTTCAGAATATGGGCTGGTTGCATACATGGTCTAGAGGGAAATAAGATTCGTATTTAACAGTACAGTACCATTTTTCAAAAATACTCTAAAAAAATTGGTTTTTATCAACTGAAGCTGGGTGTATTGGGCTTTCTCTATTTCACACTCAAAGCTTTTATTCAAAGCTTTGGGTCAGTTTCAAGATAAAAGTAGAAAAGGGAAACCAAATAAGTGCATTGTATAGGCATAAAAGTAGACTAAACAAAAGCCCCTCTTGCACTTAGACAAAACTCACAGAAAAAACCCCCCACCAGGAAACAAGCCTTTGACTAGAATTAATTAATCTCAATAGGCTCAGCCCAGCACACACACATGACAGGTTTAAGAGCCAATTAGGAAGACACTTGTATGTAAAAATGTTAATGTCTGCTGCTACACCTTCCCACAATCCTCTTTTCATTTGTGCTTAATTATTTTTTAAAACTGTATTACATGCAGTTAAAACAGCTCAAGCATAAAAGGGACATAAGAAAGAGATGGATTGCATAAGAGGGAAAGCACAACTCATTATTTAGATCACCTCAGGAATTCTCCTTTTTGTTACATTATTTTCCAACTCTGCTACATTTCACTGATAAAGTCAGTGGCAAATTACTATAATTAAAGAAACTAGCTGTGCATGTCCTTGATTAGTTCCCTCTTTTCCAAAGATGTTTGGCAATGAGCACCACTGACTGAGCAATATGTCTCGCGGCAAGAAAAGCCTTCTTTCAGAGGCATGATAAGACTCCACTGCGAAGCTCACGCCTCAGTAACACCGATCAGAGATTTCAAGAAGCAAACCTTATGACTTGCACAGGATATGAACAGTGATGGTTAAGATGTTGATAGTGATTCAACATACCCAGAAATGTGAGCCAAGTCAATGTGCAGTTTGGTCTCCTTGGCACCCGCCAAGGGTCATAAACACCTGGAACAGGTGATACTCATGTGCTTGGCACAAAACCACCAGCGTACCCACACTCTGAGCTTTCATTTTTTTATTTTTAAAAAACCCCAAGTCTCTAGCCCTCCTTGAAAGGAAGTTATGAAACAAAACTTGCAACTTCCATTCGAAGCGATTTCTGCAATATGGCTTCTTCTGCCTTTCAGGGTGTTTAACTAATGAGTGAAGTCAGAGCTGTGATTGATGAGTGAGTTGTTTGGAAACCAAGTGATAAGAATCCCTGGGGTTTTAAAGATCTGCTTTTTTGCCCTCCCTTTAGTGCAGGTCCCCTGCTTCTGCTTCATTTTCTAGTCCTTGGAATCTCTCTAGTTTTATCTTCATCCCCCCCCCTAGCAACTAGGATGCATCTTTCCTGCGGTGGGTTCAATATTGTAACTTATTTTGTGCAAGTACTAAAATGCAATAAGTGCGAGTGGATGTTAAAGGATCCAACCCCAATCGCACAGCAAATGCAAAATGTGAAAACTTTGCAAAGAGGTTGAGACGTGTCTTTTGCTGTACAAGAGCTAAAGACCAGGCACTCAATAAGAATGCATTGTGTAGTTAACTTATAGTACAATGGTATACATGCCTACTCAGAAGTAAGCCTATTTGTGTTTAATGCAGCTTCCATTCAGCCTAGGCTATGGTTTTGCACTTGCACTGGGTGTGTGTGTGTGTGGAAATGGGGTTCTTGTGCCTTTAACAGTTGTGGAACAGGCAGAAATTCAACAGCATAAGCCATTTCTAGTATGGCAATAAAATTATGGGGAAAGCTTCACCTGTTCACATTCTGTCCCTCATACATTTTATTACATGTGTGTTCCCCAATTTGTTTTGAGGCCCCCCACTACATCTGCAAAAGAGGGCAGAAATTTGCATAAGACACAAGTCTATGCAAATTTTATGCAGATGTGTCTCCCCTTTTGCAAGTGTTTCAGAAGGTCCAGTCCACAGTTTACTGAACCCAGAAAATCCTCCTGAATCCCCTGATAATATCTATATGGCAACGCATGTTCACTGTGAATGCATAACCGTTAACCTTTTACATGCATGTGCGCAGTGCCAGATTTACATATAAGCTAAACAAGTTTAGGGCCACACTCTCTTGGGGCATAGCTGTCAACTTTTCCCTTTTCTTGCAAGGAATCCTATTCGGAATAAGGGAATTTCCCTTTAAAAAAGGGAAACGTTGACAGCTATGTCTTGGGGGCCCCTAAAAAACTTAAAGGGGGGAAAACTGGGTGTATATTTCCAAAATATAAGATAAAAAACAAATAAAATAAAACCTACATACAGCAACAGTGTTTTGTGTTGTGTAGGCTCCTATGATGTAAGTAATGGGCCCTGCCTGCTAGCCTGCTCCCTAAAATATCACTGGTTTGCTCATTTCTATATATAGGGTGCCTACATTCTGCATGGACTGGCAATTTTGTTAGGTGCAAATGGCTTTAGATACCTATTAGGTCCATAAATTACCATATAGCAGATATTCAACACACAAAAACAGCAACCAGGACAGCTGGACATATAAAGGGCCCCATTGCCTTCAGGAGCTTAGGGCCTCATCAAACATAAATCCGGCCCTGCATGTGTGCAAGGAAGGGTGAGGGTGGGAGTAATCACATATATCTGGTATGTGCATATTGGCATAAAGGCAATCCATAAGGCAATTTAGGCATTGGGCAAACTTGCTGCATCCTTGTGCACTGAACTTATCCACATTGCTGGGTATGTGAAAAGGATCTTTACTTTTATGTAGAGAGACTTATCCAAAACTGGCGAAGTCATTCAAATAAGTGAAGGGAAAGCACCACTTCCCACAATATGCAATTAATATTATGAAAGGAACAGAAATGTCGAGCGTTTGCTCGAATGCTACGGAGGCATCGGAGAGATACAATTTTAGGAACAACATAAAACTTGCAGTCAACTTACAGATTCCGAGTGTTCCATAACAGCTAAAATAAAGACGACATATTCTTGGCCGTTTTGGAGCTGCTTGTTTTCAAAACCACCATACTGTTTCTTATCCCCCAGGGTGAACTCAGTAGGAAGAACTTCAAAGTGTGCTGCAATATATGGCTTTAAATCTGCTTCCCTCCCCAAACGAATACTTCGGCGTTTCCGTGCTATCTCTTTAAGTAGCTTTGGGGTAGGAGAGGAAAAAGAGAGAGAAAAGGGAGAAAACAGAAAGATAACTGTAAACAAGATTAATGTAACTTATTGACAGGCTGATTTTTTGAAAAATGTATTAAGTCCTAGGAACTACAAAAAATAAAATTCAGTGTCATTTCATGACAACCCCAGCTACAGTTATCTGGGAGTAAGTCCCATGAGGCTTGCTTCAGAATAGAAATGTACAGGAGTGTGCTATAAATTACAATAATGCCAGCACTTTTATATTAAGTAGTACGCCTCTTTAGAGTTCCACACAACTTGCAGCCTCATTCTCAGTTCAGGAAAAACCTATGTTACACTTAGCTAGGAGTAGGTACCATTCAATTCAATGGGCTTACTACTGAGTGGAAATGCATAGCGTAGTTGTAAATCTCATTTATATATGTAAATCTCATATATACTGTTTATTCTTAGTAAGAAGAGGATGTCAACATCAGATTTTTAAAAATGAATTTTTAGTTACTGATATTGTTGTCCATACTAATTCTTTTTAAAGGAAAACACACAAAAAATAAAACTATGAGGCATTTGAGATATGAGTATTACCATTTTCCCCCCATCACATGTCAAATGATGGTCAACAATAAGACACCTTTTTCATCAAGTTAATGTTTTTTTATTGCAAAATTGAAGCAAAATATTTTTTAAATGCTACAGCCAGTACAGAAAAAAGGTAAGCGATCTACGGCACTTAACTCATTACGACATCAACAGACTGCAAGTCAACCCACACCCAAAAACTTTTTTAAATAAGAAAAATTAACTGTTTTTAAGTGTTTAAAAAGTTGCACCATTTATGCAGTTAGCTTAGTGCTTGTTTAACACATCATGCTAAACCAAACCTTGGCTTATTGCACAGACGAGTGTCTGCAGGCTCCCAAAGAAGCCACAGATGCGGCCGGTCCTGATCCTCCGACGACTCACCTCCCTGTTTTGCCCGAAGGCGAGCACTCCTCCTGCGAGTACAAAGGTCCTAATTTATCATCACATTGTTTGATGGCCTGGGACTTGGGCTTGGATTCGGAACCAGAGGAGACTCAGTCTGCACTGGATCCTTTTCCTCAGGCATCATCTGAACCAAGTCTGGGGCCTGATCCTGGAGAGTCCCAGTCTGCACATGTTCCCCTGCAACAAACACCAGCTGGGCCAAGTCAGGGGCCTGACCTTGCCCTGGCTCCAGATGTGGGGATGACCTCGTTGCCTCCAGCTGGGCAATGACTTACAGCTGCTCCACTACCGGTTGGGTCAGGGGAGGCTGAGGTGGCCTCTGGGTCTAGTAACCCACCGGCTTCTCCCAAGCTGCAGAGACTAAGGTCAGAGAGAAGGAGAGACCTGAGTACTCACAGGAGCAGTGCTCGCCTTTGGGAAGACAGGGAGGTGAGTCACCGGGGGATCAGGACCGGCCGTTGCCCCGACAAAGATAAAAGGCTGTCGGACCCCGCCCCAGGTTGCGGGAGCAACACTGCTGTATGCTAAATCCTGCCTGAGATCCTGTACCTGTCCTTGCCTGGTTTCCTGCCTCGTGTCCTGCCTTGGCCCTGTCGGACTGACTCCCAGCGGAACCTTAGGATTCTGGACCGGTCCTGGACCGTGTTTCATGGGTTACCCCCGGGTGCAGCACACATTGTGTTTAACTAAACTAACTATTAATGCCACAAATCATGACATTATGTCTATGCTGCAGAATGTCAATACCAGTGAACAGGTTTAGGAATGAAATAAGTATTCAGTTAGCAAAAATGTTTATAAAATATGCTAGTATGCTTGTAGTAAGAAGAGTGCGTATGATATTCTAAGAACATGCCATGAATTGGCAATGACACAGAGGAAAGGGAAGAAGATCATGGTGAGGGGTGTAGCAACAACTGGTACACACCAGGACTAGCTGAATATGGGGAAGTGGAGGTTGGGGACTTAGGAGGAACTCACAGGACATCAGAGGACATTGCAGGGCCAGCCAACAGTACAGGGGAGACAGAGGAGGGAACACATCATCAGAACCAGAGGTTTCCCCATCTTCACAGAAATGGAAGGCTCTGAGGTGTCAGGAACAGGGAGAAGTGCACTCCAGGAGACTGAGGCAGGTAAGGGAACACAGCCCAGCTCACTAGGGGCCAGGTGGAGATCATGGGAATCATTAGGATGTTGTGGTCCCTCAGCTAGATTAGGCTCAGGGCAGGTGAGGGCCACCCGCTTTGTTAAGTGGAGAGACACAGCTACTCAGCTGGAACAATTAATCAAGGTGCATCAATCAAGCTTGCGAAGGATAGAAGGGAAGCAAGGCAGAGAGTCTGTGTCTGCTCAACTTTCTCCATCGATGGAGCACAGCTTGGCTGCTTCAGGAACTCCACCGGCCTGTGAATTCAGGACGAACCCCAGGTCCCAACCCTGGAGGCAGGAGTTTGACCTTGCTTGTTATATCATACCTGGACCAGTTTCTGACCATTTGGTCTGTCTGACTACTCTCTGGTGTTGCCCTTGGGACTGGTTGCACTATCAGGACTTGCCTCCGGGTATGCTTAGGTTCAGGACAGTACAGAAAATTGTATTGTAGAAAAAGACGTTTACATTTGTCCTTAACTGCGGAAGCTGAAGTTACATATAAGTCTGGTCTCTAGAATCAAAGGAGTAAAATTTTGTAAAGGGACAACTGTACAAAATATTTATTTTTGCCCGTGCCAAAAGAACTGAAAAATTGGTTTTCATTTGGAAATCAAGATTTGTGATTACATGTGTATGTCTCTGCTCTAGCGTAAGTAAGAGAGGAGGAAGATTTCACCCTAAATCACATGAATGAATAGACCTGAAGTGCACCCCTTCCTTCATTCATATTTTAGTTATAGATGATGCTGTTGTCATATATCATTAGCATCATGTGCATCCCTTGAGATGCTTTTCCCCCTCCCGATCAAGGTTAATTTGAAAAGCAATGAAGTCATCAAAATCTGTTCCCAAATACCTTCCAGATCCTGTCCATAATATGTTCTTATTCTTGTGTATATTTTTTTTTTTGTAATACTCTTGCAGATTCTTGTAATACATTCTTCTTGCAGATTTCACAACATTTAGAAATGCATTTTAATATTATTTAGCAAAGGCATTTTCTTGTTACTATTAGGATTTCAGCTGAAGAAAGTTTAAATGCAATGTACTTAGAAAATAAAGCTAGGCAGAACTTACAAAAGGCACAAAATGCAATATTTAGATGCCACACGCACCCTTTTGCAGAAAATAAATGTATAAATGGCATTTAGCATAAAAGTTAGTGGCATTAGCTGACTCTGCTGAGAGAGTCTTACATGAAATAATATCATCTTCACGGTTGGTTCACAGAATAATAAAATGCACTAGGCTGGGATGGTGGGACTTCCAGTGCTTAGTGAATTCAATTTGAACAAGATATGAAAGGAAAAGACACTTCTCTCTCTCTCTCTCTCTCTCTCTCTTAGTTGAAATTGGTTTATGGTGTGCACAAATGTAAACATTCTTAAGCATCTTCTAAAGCTTTTACTACAGATTCATCAGCACCCTTCCTTAAGTTTTCTAGGCCTCATTGGGTAAATTGTATCATCACCTACTGCTTTTGGAAGTTGTTGTTGGAGGTACACCCTGGAACAGGCATAGGAAAACTCGGCCCTCCAGATGTTTTGGGACTACAACTCCCATCATCCCTGACCACTGGTCCTGTTAGCTAGGGATGATGGGAGTTGTAGTCCCAAAACATCTGGAGGGCCGAGTTTGCCTATGCCTGCCCTGGAAGTATGTTCTCAAGAGCCAGACTTTCGTAATGCAAAATGTTAGTGGTCAGAGAGGGCTTTTGTTCTCTTCAGCTGTGCAGATAGCATTTATGTGTGAGGTTTGCTACATTATTGTTGAAATAATGGCCAATCTGGGCTCATGTTACTTTCTTTTAGTTTATTTCTCCATACTCTGTTCCAGATGTTGGACACTGCATATGATAGAAGATGCCTAAAGGTTACTTGAGAGGCCACCTTGCCCTTTATATACCCAGTGGGCAGAGCTTTTTTTCAGCTGGAGCTGCACTTGGGCACCTCTCAAGTGACAGGCACCACTGCACATGTTCCAGCTTGTTAGCATCCTTCTTAAATTACGGTGCCCAGAATTGGACACAGTATTCCAGGTGCGGTCTTAGCAAGGCAGAATAGAATGGTACTATTACTTCCCTTGATCTAAACACTATACTTCTGTGTACGCGGACGTGGGACGCGGGTGGCGCTGTGGGTAAAAGCCTCAGCGCCTAGGGCTTGCCGATCGAAAGGTCAGCGGTTCGAATCCCCACGGCGGGGTGCGCTCCCGTTGCTCGGTCCCAGCGCCTGCCAACCTAGCAGTTCGAAAGCACCCCCGGGTGCAAGTAGATAAATAGGGACCGCTTACTGGCGGGAAGGTAAACGGCATTTCCGTGTGCTGCGCTGGCTCGCCAGATGCAGCTTTGTCACGCTGGTCACGTGACCCGGAAGTGTCTCCGGACAGCGCTGGCCCCCGGCCTCTTAAGTGAGATGGGCGCACAACCCTAGAGTCTGTCAAGACTGGCCCGTACGGGCAGGGGTACCTTTACCTTTATTACTTCCCTTGATCTAAACACTATACTTCTGTTGATGCAGCCTAGAATAGCATTAGCTTTTTTCCTGCTGCTTTACACTCTTGACTCATGTTAAGCTTGTGGTCAGCCAAGACACCCTAGGTCCTTTTCACATATACCACTATATCAGTCATCAATACTTTTATCAGTGCCAACCCTTTCCAATGCTAACTAAAGGTTTCCTGCCTGAAGATCTCTAATTCCTTCCTGCTGAACTGGGTGGGGGTGTGGGGGAGGTAGGGATTAATGATGAATAGCTTCTTAATTTTGCCAGTGCTTGTTCATGTTAATTACTGGTGTCCTCTTGCTTCTTTCAAATCGCAAAATAATACTGTTGTGCTATAAACAACTGAGAGAAAAATGAGAAGAAACAAGTGATCAAAGATCGTCTCCTCTGCGGATACAGAAACTGACACCGAGGTAATTAAGAAAGGCTATTCATCACTAATTTCCTAGCAGCAACCAACAAGAAGCATTAAAAAGTGCATGGACTGAGAATAAAGAAAAATGTTTAAGCACAAGGACCATTTGAGGCCTCGATAGCCTTTTATGTGTTCACACACAGGACAGGATAGAGCAGCAATTGTGCTTTATTGAAAAATACTAATGATAAAAAGTCACAAAACATGCAGCAGGACAACACAGGAAACAATGAACTATGGCAATGTGACCATGAAACAATCTGCGTTCTCCATGAAAAGTGACTGAAATTTTGGCAATTTCAGAGGCAAGGAGTTTAGCTTTAAGGGCAAAATCTAATGTAAGGCTAATTCTGCCTACAGAGACAACCCTGAAGTCACTGTGTTTCCCGATACTTCATTGTTATGGATAAATGTATCACCGCTGCAAAGCTGGAACACCTGCATTGATTATATTTGTATAGGCATTCCATGAGCACAGTATTAACGTACACAACTTAAAACAGGGAGTTCTCTTAGAAGCTTTAAAAAATCTAAAGTATCAGAAACTTCAGAGTCGCTGCATGAAGAGTAGCTCACTTTGGAGATGTTTTCCGTCCCCTCGTGAGTTACTATTGGAAGCAATTCTGAAAGATATATGAAGGGCTTCAGCTCTCGATCAGAAACAATTTTCATTTTCCAGTCAATGCATATCTTATTTCTTCCACCATTAATTCTACAATGTGGTCTCAATTGTATCTGTAAAAAATGGAAAAGAACCCATCCTGCCCCAAATGTTTCTGAATTTAATAAATGTCCTTTATCAAACTATTATACAGATTAATGCACCACAACTTGCACGATGATTAAAATGACCCTTTGTTATGGAAAGCGGCAGCAGCAGCAGCAGCACAGACCCAAAGAACTTAATGGCGAGAAAGGTCAATGTCAACTACAGAATTCAGACTGGAATCTGTTAATTTTGCTGAAATGGACTGTGTAGTTTTGCAAGTTAAAAATGGTCTGTGTCCCGTTACTGGACTGTTGAATTTTTAATTGTTCCGCTGTGTTTGATGGCAACTAAAACTGAGTTTAGCTGCTTTTTGCCTCTCTAGACAACTCCAGGACATTAAAAAGAAGAAACCACATTAAAGCAAGCAGTCTGCACATACTGAATGTTGTTAGTACAAGCAAAACACAGCCGGAAGTCATGGAGTTGGCTAATGGCTTAAGAGAAATACAGAGACCTCCCATTCTTCATAACAATGACCAATGGGTTCTATTGAGTCCTGAGGAAATCTGTGTTGACATTGTGCCTGAAATGAGGCTGGACTATATTTTTGTTAGGGCAATTCAAAGAGAGTAAGCTTCTTAGGGTTTTGTTGTTGTTGTTTGTGAAGAAAATGGAAATTGGTGTTACTATGAATTTCTATTTGAAGAGTAGACTGGAGGACAATCAGTTAACAGGATGGTTCCTCCAGCTGGGGGAGTATATAGGCAAGGTATAGGCCAGGCATCCCCAAACACGGCCCTCCAGATTTTTTTGGACTACAATTCTCAGCATCCCTGACCACTGGTCCTGTTAGCTAGGGATGATGGGAGTTGTAGTCCCAAAACATCTGAAGGGCTAAGTTTGGGGGTGCCTGGTATAGGCTTTGAAGACTATTGCCTCCTCTTCCACAGAGAGGGGCCATGCTGCTGTACAGATCATATTGACAGCACTAAGGAGACCCCCTCAATCCCTCAAGTCCATAAACCACACTCGATACAAAAAAAATAATGATGACACAAGGACAGGGACCCAAGAAGATACTGTACTATAACACAGAACGAGAATACCTCACACATGATAACGAATTTTCAGATAACTAAGATGACCTGAGTAGGAATTTACTAATTATTATTTTTATTTATTTAATTTCTATATCACCCTATACCTGAAGGTCTCAGGGCGGTTCACATAAAATATCAAATACATAAAATCCAAACAAAACCAACCACCCAATTAAAAAAACTCCCAAAGAGCCAGCATTTTAAAAAGGGTATAGGGTGTACAGAAGATCAAGTCAGGCAAAGGCTGATTGAAAAGGAACGTTTTTGCCTGGAGCCTAAAGGTGTATAGTGAAGGTGCCAGGCGAACTTCCCTGGGGAAAGCATTCCACAGACTGGGCTTTCATCCTGTAGTAATAAGATGTTGTGTTGTACTGAATGCCCTGGGAATTTATATAGGATGGGCTGGATAAACCTGGCTCGAATGTCTATATAATACTGGCAATGAAAAAGGGCATGTCCCGCTGTTTCCTGCTGCCCAGGGCACATGGGTATTTCCTCTCCTCATATGGTATCTTCCTATAGCGGCCTTCTTGAATTGCTGAAGGGAGAGCCTGACAGTGGGCCAAGGTAAAAGCCCTTTGAACAGCACCCATTGGAGTAAGGAAGGGAATTCTGTGACTACTAAGTTTTAAGCACCGTGTCCACTTTATAATTTTGATGAATGTGTGGGTGGGTGCCCATGTTGCAACCCTACCGATGTCTAGAACGTGGAGACTTCCTTTGAATGCTGCTAAGGTATCAGCACCCCAAAAAGATTTTGCAGTTGAACCTGCAACAGGAGACTTGTCCAGTGTTGTATGTAGCATTTTTCATTTTGACAAAGTAATAATAAATAAATAAATAAAAGTAAAAATGTACACCCCACCCCCGAGACCATTCCATTGTAACTATCCAACCTCCCAAAATTTCAACACCTCTTGTGATGGTTTGACCCCTTTCCATTTCAACAGCACAAATTCTATAAATACCTCCCACATCTCCTCAAAATAATTTCTCCTGCATATTCTGTCTTACTTTAATAAAGGTAAAGGGACGCCTGACCATTAGGTCCAGTCATGGCTGACTCTGGGGTTGCAGAGCTCATCTCGCTTTATTGGCCAAGGGAGCTGGCATACAGCTTCCAGGTCATGTGGCCAGCATGACTAAGCCACTTCTGGCGAACCAGAGCAGCGCACGGAAACGCTGTTTACCTTCCCGCCGGAGCGGTACCTATTTATCTACTTGCACTTTGATGTGCTTTCGAAATGCTAGGTTGGCAGGAGCAGGGACTGAGTAACGGGAGCTCACCCCGTCACAGGAATTTGAACCGCCGACCTTCTGATCGACAAGTCTTAGGCTCTGTGGTTTACCCCACAGCGCCACCTGCGTCCCCTCTTACCTTAATAGCACATGTTAATTTATCATTAATAGCTTTGTGCCACACCTATGGCTTCTCCTCAGATCTTAGAAATCTTTCACCTTTTACTAAGCTCTCTAGCTGTGCACAGGATTAAATTCCACTTCGATCACAGCTGGGGAGGGAACCGCTTCCCTGCCTGCTGTGGCCAGACAACACTCCACTCTCCACCTAATTAATTAAGGAAAAACCGAAGATGTAGCTACATATTATATACATTAAGAGGGATGTGTAGGTTGGTCCTCAGGAACTTCAGCATTGATAATGCAAACTCTACTAGGCAGATTAAGCTCTCTATGCCAAACTAACAAGTACCACTGTTAACAGAAAAGGGGCCAGTATCTGCTGAAGACCTTTCCTTCCACTTTCTGACCCAGACTCCCTGCATCTGAATGTGCTGAATTCATATGAACACTCAAGCATGCTATGCCAGTTCATCACAGGGAAGTCATCCAAGGTTACTTTGCAAGTAGTTAAGTGTTGTTGATGTCTACCTTTCGCACAGATGTCCTTTCCTCTTAGGTCTGAGAGCATGTAAAAATGCAATCTGAGAATCATAATTGGTTGTTCCCAAAATAACTGGGGATTTCCACATTCAGTTGTGCCCACCTGAATTTGAATCTGAAGGTGTGTTATATAAAGTACTTCCGCACACATCTTCAGACAGGATTGCAATTTTCAAGTATAGAATTTACTCATCTCTCTATTAACTAATACACTGAACGAGAAGAAGGTTTTTTAAAAAAAAAAAAAAAAAATTCAATCAATTCAAAATGCCATATGTGTCAAAATAATGTGATGTTTTGAAATTAATGGAGTAATTCGCTCACAAGCAAGATAGAAACTGACAGGTAAATATATGTTAATTAACAGCCCAGTTATTACAGTGCTATTCGGTGAATATGTAAGGTGTCTCTCTCATTGTGCCTAATCTTGGAGCGTAGAGGAAAACGAACATGAGACAGACATATACCAGCACGGGAGAATCAAGTAAAGAGAACTGAGAGGTAGGTCAAATGTTAAACTGCAGAGCAAATGGCAACTTAGCATGTGATTCAGCTTTGGCAAACACCCCATTAAACGAACCAGACCTTTATTGGAGTTCATATCAATGGTGATTAAGTTTTTGCTGACAACTCATTTCACCTACTGCATTACGTCTTATAATCGGCAAGGAATAAAATATTAATGCCAACAAAGATCAGACAGTGTGTGTGCCTCATTGCAACTTAATGTCTTTTAATTTAAGTAATTAGCTTTTTGTTTCTGTCCCCAGAGGCGAACTCCAATACAAAATGATAAGATTATTATTTTTTTTTAAAAAAGTCAAATTTGCTGACATGGGTACATTAATTGGACACAATCATTAAGGCTGTTTCTATCACAAACAATTTTACAGGGAAAAAAGAGCTAAAATAAGCACACGGTACCTCGTCTAATTCCATTTCGTCTGGGCTCTCTCGTGGTTTCATGAATTTTCCATCAGATTTCTTTATCAAAGGCACAATTACTATATAGTAACCTCTGCAAAAAAAAAAAACCAAACATAAGATGAGGCTGTCAGCAATGACCAGCATTTTACTCCAGAATGCTCCCCAGAGCCACAATACATCATGTTGCAGCCTCATTCTGGAACATTATAGGACTTTAAACAGTGGGTGGAAGCACGGAAGAGCACTCCTGACTTCCACACTCCCATCTTCCTCAATCTTTGCACGACCCGGTATAGTAAGAAAGAAAAAGTGGCCTGAAAATACAGCCATTTTACTGCAGGCTATATTATGAACCTATTTTGTCCAAAGTAAAAAGGAGCAGGGTTTTAAGAAACAATGTTAAGCTATTGACAAGCCATCTGTAATAGCGAATGGCTTGCCGTTTTTGTCAAATGCAGGCATCACAAATGTTTACATGTAGGTGGAACACATTACATGCATACTTGTACGAGAAAAACGGAGGTGTCCAGGGTTCAGTAGACTATGTCTTCAGGGCAATGCACTACTTAACAAGCAGCTTGAAGAAGAAAAACCACTTTGGATATGCTTTGATATGCACTTTAATAGCTTTCTCCTTCTAAAAGGTATCTTATATCCGTTATCTTTCTTCACCCCATATCAGCAGTTAACGAAGGTGCATGAGAACGATCGTTTCTTGGCAATGACTTGCTACAACCTGTTTTCAAACACCGCAGCAATTCAGCTAATGGAACCGAAGCACTTGCAAAATCAATACACATAGGTAGCCAGGTCAGATTACGAAACTTTATCATTTTTCATCCTAGAAGTCATTAAGATTGCTTGCAACCTCTGCTCAAGCATTCCATACAGAGTAGACAAAGTTGTAAGTACAGGTTTAAATTACACATAAAAAGAACCCATGATGGCTTCTTAAGAGAAGTTTTCGAATTTAGTATACATTCTAGCTGTTTGCCTCCTTTATCCTAAAACTCAGTTCAGAAAATGTCTCCTGCATCATGCAAAGATCTGCCCTCATAATATGGCCAATAAATATTGCAAAGTGCTGACTTGACTGTTTAATGTTCTCAGTAATGCCATTTTCAATTAGATAAGAAAATTGGGACTTGAAAACTAAAAGGAACACACTGAAAACAAAGCAGTGCACACACTGATTTGGCTCTAGCCAAAATATCAACAAGTTAATAGAGCTGACATTTACCATAGCTCTGATGCTCATATGCAAAGTCTACTATTAAGTGCAAACATTTCCTCATCTGAAATTAGTTAGCTGCTTTCTACAGTGATTCAGATAGTTGATATTGCAACTATCTTGTTTCTGCTTTCCAGTTTTCCCAAATTCAAAACTAGAGGGGAAAGTTCATATATCTGTTGTCCTACATTTGATACGGAGATACAATGTTGTTGAGGCCTTGCAGATACAATGATCTGGATTCAGAAGGCCTGATGATCATCTTCCAAAGCAACTACTCTATTCCAAACTTAAAAATGGAAAGCGTAATGCTGGTGGTCAACAAAAGAGGTTCAAAGACTGTCTCAAGGCAAATCTAAAAAAAGTAGTATAAACACCGGAAACTGGGAAACACTGGCCTGCGAGCGCTCCAGCTGGAGAACAGCCTTTACCAAAGGTGTCATGGGCTTTGAAGACACTCAAACTCAGGACGCAAGGGAGAAACGTGCTAAGAGGAAGGCACGCTTGGCAAATCTACACCGTGATCAACTCCCGCCCGGAAACCAATGTCCCCACTGTGAAAGGACGTGTGGATCCAGAATTGGCCTCCACAGTCACTTACGGAACCATGTTTATGGAAGACCATCTTACTCGGCTATGAGGGATCACCAAAGAAGAATGTTTCACAGCATAGCTTTAGCCAATTAATCTCCTCTCAAGCTCACTCCTCTACTATAATAATTGAACAATGCACTAGCAGAAGTGCCAGATTGGCTCCATGAGTCTATTCATGAAGTCCCAAGCTTACTACCTCCCTGACCCATCCAGGTAAATTGCAATGCTGCTGCAGTTCTGCCCCACTGTGAATTACTCTTGCAAATCACCCCCACATCCATACTTTTCACAGACTGTTAGTCAAAGAAGGAAACCAGGCAGGGGTAAAGGAAGGAAGGAAGAAAAAGGTTTAATACAACTTTAAAGAGAGCGCAGAAAGCTGTTGTGTGTAGACCGTTAAGATGGATGCATATTGCCGACTTAAATCCCTAAAGAAATTACTTGGCATTACATCCACTTGTGCAGCCCGCCAAAGGATATTAATTCTATTTACAGAAACTGTTTTGCGCACTGGTAATAGTATCTATTGTCCACCTGTGAAACGAACCTATTGTGCCAAATGTTATTTTTTTAACAAACTCCCTTAACACAACTGGAGACCCTTAGAGCATTCAGTAACACCGGTAGCTCATTCTAGTCAGACAAAGGCATGTTCAGTTCACTGCCGTAAATCAAAATGTGACCCCATTCCTTTTTTTTTAAAAAAAAAAAAAGGGTAAAAATGGGGAAGGTCAATTTCCCGAACAAAATTAAAAAGAAGCATCTGTAGTTCAACACACACACAAGAGGTCATTTTAAAAAGTCTAACTGAATTCTTCCTTAACTTCTGTATTTGGTCAGCATTCAGCATTCAGGAGCAGGCAAAGAGCTCTTTTATTTCTGATCTGAGATTGTATGTGTGTGTGTGTGAGAGAGAGAGAGAGAGAGAAACAGAAAAAGAATAGCGAGTTCTGTGTGCCTGCACATCTGGTATCGGTATGCATGTACAGTGGTGCCTTGGTTGACAAACTTAATCCGTTCCGGAAGTCTTTCTTAAACCAAAGCGTTCTTAAACCAAGGTGTGCTTTCCCATAGCAATGGGGGACTCAATTTACAAATGAAACACACTCAACAGGAAGTGGAACATGTTCTTATTCCAAGGCAAAGTTCACAAACCAAAACACCTACTTCCAGGTTTGCAGCGTTCTTAATCCAAGTTGTTCATAAACTAAGCTGTTCTTAAACCCAGGTACCACTGTACATGCAAAAATGTGCATATGTGGTGAATGTGCGCGCACATATACAATGACTGTATATGTATATGTGGCATGCGGTCCTCAGTTTGGTGGCTGACTGTCAATGCAGCCCTCAGTCAGCCCTGGCTTAGGGAATAACCAGAAATCCACCCTTCATAGTCATGATCATTACTTTAGGAGGCCAAATAACCCAAGAAGAAATCGTTAAAGGAAACTTGGCCCCAATTTTGGGGAGCATTTAAAGCAGCGGTTCTCAACCTGTGGGTCCCCAGATGTTGTTGGACTACAACTCCCATCACCCCTGAGCTCTGGCCTTGCTAGCTAGGGGTGATGGGATTTGTAGTTCAACAACATCTGGGGACCCACAGGTTGAGAAAGGCTGATTTAAAGCAAGGTGAATGTATTATGTCTCAATTACCTTATTGTTCATTTCTCATTGCCACTCTGACATTCATCATCAGAGCTTTGCCTAAAGAAAACAACCCCCCCCCCGTATTTTAGGGGACTCAAATTTAAATAAATGGGGGGAGCTGGCCCAAAGTTGTTGAGCTTTTTTTGGGGAGGGGAATGAAGAAAATCACTAACACAAATGAAAAACGCTGACAATTGCTCGCGTAGCAGAAGCCAACAATGGCCAGCAATTGCACGCCCAATTGCCGCAATGACAGCCAATCGAAAGCAGCCCTTGACACAGCCACCAATCACCCACCAAATCGCTCGCGGCTGCAACCAATCATCCGTCCCTCCCCATGCACTTTTCATGTATAAGACGAGCTCTGGTTTTTAACACTATTTTAGAGTAAAAAAACCTTGCCTTATACATGGAAAAGTACAGTACTTCTGATCTTCCACTCATCACATACACACAGCCAGAATGACAAATGGCTGACAAATTTATTGTTGCTGGATGTACAGACAGGCTCCTGTGTGTAGAAAGATATGATCAACATTCTAGAAATATGGTGGTCAAGTACTTATGGCAACTTGGTTAAAAAATAAATCCTTAGAGTTCAGCTTTAAGGGTTGACCATGAATACGGGCAAGCTGACTCCAGAGTGCCATCGAAGGTATGGATGCTAGGCCTAACAAGCTACCTTATCTGTAGCTGACCCAGAAAGAATGGCAATGGATCTGTGAAATACTCTGAAAACTGAGCACTTGAAACAAAACAAGAGAAGACATTAACTAGCAGTCTGTCAGAAATGGGATAGTGGTTATATAATTCGGTATTGAAATGTTTTATTGAAAGTGTATTATTTGACTCATACATTGACTGAGTTATTGACCAGCCAATCATCTGTGCCAATGCATTTTCGACTTTTAAAAATCTATACTAAAGTTTGTACTTTCAATAATGTGGTAGATCAGAATCTGATGTAGATCTTTCTGGCCACAAATGGGAAGTTAACAGCAATTCCTGGCAGCTCAGCTCCACCAAGGTGACTAGTTATTATAAATTTCACACCGTTATCACGAAAAGTGACTGAAGTTGTGATATGACAAGAAGCCTGGGAACATTTTTAAAGTCCAGTCAGGACTATGATCAGTCCTACACATTAACCTTGAAATCAACATCCAAGTGTTAACTGCTGAATTTTGTGTTTGTGCATGCAGCTGTGGTAAGATTTGTGTGTGAATAACAATGCTGTAATTTGCGCAAACTAATGCAAAGCAAAAAGTTTAATTACAAACAACGTACACAATACAGAAGGAAATTAGACTGTTGCAACTTAAATTTAATTCTTACACATTCAGATTGTAGGAGTCCCTGTTAAGAAACCTAGGTTATTTTGAAATCCTTATTTACTGATGAATAGCCTTTGGCCTATAATGTGACTTAAATAGAAAACTATATTTAGAAAGATTTTTCCTCCAAAAGCATTTTATTTTAAAATTCCAATTTAATTTTTAAAAAAATCCAATTTAAATTTTTTAAAAAAAATATTTTTTAAAAAACTTGATTTTTATCCACCCTGGCTGCTATGGATATTTCTATAATTAAGTTTCAGCCTTTAAAATCATAATAAAGGAACTGCAGCCCAGGTCCATCCTCTCTGGATCTCTGGGCCTACGTAAATGTCATCTTTTTTCGCCCTGCTTGCACCCTGCAACAAAAGGGATGCTAGGACTCAAGTCTGCCCAGAGTCAGGACAGACAACTGTGCCTTTGCCATAAACCAACATAGCTTCCTGAGAGCTCACCTTTAGAACAAGCTGAGTTTTCTCAGTGGTAATAGATGTTCAGACGCATTTCTTATTTATTACCTTAGATATTGTGGCTAATCCCTCGTGAGCCACAGCACAAATTCAGTCCTGCTTCCAACATTTCCACAACTTATGAAAAAGGTTATTGTCTTCTCAGCAGATGTTAGCTACTCCTGGTTGTTTTTATACGCTGGCCCTTTCTAGTAATTACTTTTCTCCATAAATCATTCCGATGCTTTCCGTCTTCAGGCTTCCTTTTCTATACTTTTCTACAAACTTTATCTTTACTTAGTTTAATAGCAATGGCTTCATTTCCCACACTTTAATCCTGTTAACACCCCAATGTAATATATTTTCATATTGTCTCATTCTGAATTCCTCAATTAGCAATAAAGAGAGGGTCTTCCATTTACAAAGCTCATGGTATAAAATGTCAGCTGAGAAAATCCAGGTTGTATCCCCAACAATATTTAACAACCTGCTCATTTTCCTTCCCATTTCCTTCGTCACACACATGGGAGTCTTATAGGAAGCAAGAATCACTGCAAACAGAGCAATAACACTTATTGATTGTACTGTGTTTCACGCTTTCCTGGCAACTCTTTATTGTCCATCGTTTTGAATCCCTATTGGCGCTTTGCTGTCAGGTCTTTAGTACTATCTTTGTTGTTTAATCTGCACAGAAGCATTTAAGAAGCCTTGTAAACCATGTTCCAGCACTGTGAACAGAACATATAGCTGCCAAATTCATTTATTATGGGATCACTTTTTAGATTTAAATCACGACGTGCTATTTTTGGAAATAAAAATATCTGTTTTCTAAGCAATGTCTGTGATAAAAACATTTAAAAGGAAAGACAAAGTAAACCGCCATTGCCATATTAATTTGTACATGATGGGACTGGACTGTTAAACATAACTGACCCATCTTATGGCTTTGCCTTACAGTGTTTTAGCCAACCAAAGTTCTACAGTTTATGTCTTTACCAGGACTAGAGCCATTTTGAGCAGTTCAAGAAATGTGCAAAGGAAGTGCTCGTCTTCTTTTATACTTCTGCTGTAGCCCACTAAGAACATACATCTCCCAGTGGAAGACAGAGCAGAATCACTCCATCTTTGCACATGTCATCACCAGCATTATTCAAAGTAGCAGCAAAATCCACTCTGTGGGTACATCTTTTTCCTAAGGCTGAGCTGAAATGCCTTTCCCCGATACAATCATACCTCATGTTATGTTTGCTTCATGATACGTTTTTTCAGGTTACGTCCCATTGAGACCCAGAAGTACCGGAAAGGGTTACTTCTGGGTTTCGCCGCTCAAGCATGCGCAAAGCACTAAATTACACTTCGCGCATGCGCACAAGCACCAAATCGCGCCGCGCACCTGCGCAGATATGGCACTTCGGGTTGCGGGCTTTTCATGTTGCGAATGGGCCTCCAGAACAGATCTCGTTCACAACCAGAGGTACCACTGTATTGCTGTTTTGTTCATAGGCTGTAGCTGGGAGAAAAAAATGGGAATGTGCAGTGCTATTATTATAGAAAAAGCGGTGCCAGTGGAAAGAGGAATGGCATGTAGATTATCTACTCTTAAGGAATATGTTCATAATCTTTTCAGGTTTCCTCTACATTTACAAATATTTAGTAAATATTTGATGAAATGCTAAGGAAAAGACAGTCCCTTCCCCCACATTTTCTTGGATGATTGTACATATTTTGAGAATTTGGAAGATATAAAACCAGGAAGGTTAGAAGTTCTGTTGTCTCTGATATCAGAGCTTTCTATCATTGGGGAGATGTTGCTGTCATCGTCTCATCTGGCCAGGTTATAGAGTGCCACGTACAACTGGTGTTTGCTCTCCCAAACCTACATCAGTGACATGATAAGTTTAGAAACATTATTGATTTTTGATGTCTGATCGTCAAGGTTCACAAAGAGCTTCAGGAGCCCTCAGTTACACTTGTGTCATCTTCTACAGATCCTACTCCACCCATGACAACACAAAATCTCCTTCCGCATACCTTGCTTTATCTCTGTATTTGTCCAAATCTGGGAATATGACTAGAGATTTGATATCCTGGGCAGTGCAAGGATAAGGGACCAGATAAGAATTCCCCACACACCAGGTTTCATTCAGTGAAGTCGTCCTGTTACTGCAAGAACATCCATCTGTGCTATAGGACTTCCTCCCACACTCTTTTCTCTGTGCACCCCCTTAAATCCCCTTCAGAGGACTGGGGGAACCACCAGAACAGATGGATATGTGTGAGTGCAGAGGGCGAGGACAGGGAGAAGTCCCATTGCACAGGTGGGAGATCCTCGAGTTAATGGCATGAATTTCTTGGACACAAAGAAGAAAGGCAGGATACGAATGTTATAAATAAATAAATGTAAAATTCTGATAGCTTGACCTGAAACATGCAGTTCAAGGCTGCTGCAACTACAGCAGCTCATGGTTTTAATGCAGAGAATCCAGTAAGTAATAAAGTACGAATGACTTTTGACGTTTAACTCACTTTATAGTTTTGTTTGCAGGAACATCTGGTAGCTTCACTGTTACCATTCCATCGACATTGGTCTTATCAATGAACAGTGGTTGGGTTCGCAGTACATCTGGTGCTGTTTTTGCTGTTACCCTGTGCTGAAGACCTCCAGCGCTATTGCCTCTATTGGTCAGTACAAATGAATATGATGTCTCAGGTTTCAGGTTGGTGATAAGTTTCTGAGTGGCTCGGCCATCTACCTCAACTGCCATTTTCCCATCATCGTACAGGATCTAAAAAAGTGAGGGTTTTCATTTTTGTTAGAAAATTGTTAGTAATTAAGGGGGGAAAGAATAAACCACGTTAGCTGCCCTTTACTGCTTTTGATCCAGCAATACTCAAGAAGATAGTAATGTTCTGTTTACCTTCTCTTGTCTGTAAGTATATGCCACAACTATGTATAATTCTTCAGAATTACCTGAAAATGTCAGTTATTTGGGGACCTTAAAATAATGATTCCCAGCAGCTTCCTCAAAGATTCGCACTAGCTCTTCTTTGCATCAAACTTCTATGATATCCCACTCAGAGTTATATTATGTTCTGCTAGACAACAATTCCTTTAACTGGAGGCACACTTCAAATTAAACTGGATTTAACACAAATACACAGTAATGGCTTGCTGTATACTAGCTTAGGTTTATGCAAGCTCTACTGGTTAGGAACAGCTAAAGCCAGATCTCTTCCAAACATTCAAAAATGCAAGCTCAATCTTTAAGTCTGGGGGCGCAGGTAGAAAGGTAGAATAGTAGTTGTAGCTCTTCAGTTGCCTGATACCACTTGCCAGGACACTGGCACCGGTAGAGGTATATTTGGTCTACTCTAGATTGTGGCCATCTAATACCCATTTACAAGGGGAATATCTTTTCTCAGTATTTAGGGCTGTTGTTTCACCACACAAAGTCCTGGAATTGCCCCTGGCAGACTACCTGTCAGAAGGCGGAGATGAGCAGACTTGCTATACTCCAATTTTTGGTTTTACTCAAAGGGAGATCATTTATGTTCCACCAGCCATAAGGGTCTTTAATGCAAAATCTGTTTCCCAACTCCTATACACTTCAAATGTCTGGTATAATGGTTTATTTCCTAAGCTGGATGCGTTCCAGGCAAAGTTCCTTCGGTCCCAACTTCAGGTTCCAAACTGTGCTCCTAATTCAATTCTATTTCTGGAAACAGGTGAATGTCCACGTTTCACCAAAAGCATGATGGGCTGCCTTAAAATACTGGTTAAAGATTTTGGTATTTGGCGTGGGGGAGGGATTAGTTTTACATTTAACCAATGAGGAGTCTATCAGCTCATGGTCAAAAGCTATGGCCCCCAAAATCTCCTGAATTGGACTTTCACTATCCTTTTTACATCATCTGGGTAATGACATTGCCTTTAAATCCTTGAGCCAGAGGTTATGGGATATTGCATACAGTGATCTTTGCTCTCGATCATATGTAACCTGTAGACCGTTTGTGTTCAGAATTCATTATGGGCATGATTTTCAATTACCCTTGTACCTTATGAATCTGTCAGTACCCAGTTATCGTCAACTGTTTACCAAAGTCAGATTAAATGTATTTCCACCTGCAGTTCTAAACGGCAGACTGACTGGTATACCTTATCATAGTAGACTCTGTTTATGTTCTCAGGCTGTCGATTGTATGAAGCATATCTTAATACACTGTGGGCTGTATGAACAAGTCAGGGATCAATTAATTAAACCCATACTGGTAAATTTACCAGGGAATTCTGATACCTTCTATCTCATCATGTCAGAGATAAGTCAAATGATACTACACAGGCCGTAGCAAAATTTATCTCAAAGGTAGTAAGAAATAGAAATCAACATGCTCTGCATAAAACATAGTGACTGCCTTGGAATCTTTTCCATGTATCTCTGCTGCATTTTGCGTTTGAAACCGTTTTTTTGTGGGTCTTTGGACCATAATGAAGAATGTTGTTGTTGGTAGGGGTGTATAAGGTTGTCTTAAGATTCATGTAATTGTTCTCCCCTCATGAACCTACCAGGACCCTGAGATCATCTTCTGAGGCCCCTTTTTCGACTGCCTCCTCCATGAGTGGTCCAGAAAGTGGCAACAAGAGAACGGGCCTTTTCTGCAGTGGCTCCCCGTCTGTGGAATTCTCTACCCATGGAGGCTTAGCCAGCGCCTTCATTATACACCTTTAGGCGCCAAGTTTCCTTCCTCTTTAAATAGGCTTTGGGATGATTGACATCCAATGCCCTTTTGAAAATGTGTTGTGGAAGAGGGCGATTATTAGGCTGTCTTTGTTTTGATTTTTATCATGTGCTTTTTATATTGTGATTTTGTGTTGTTAACCACCCTGAGGTCTGCTGGTTTGGGTCTGTATATTAATTAAATCCTGCTTTTCCTTTTTCCTTCTTGCTTCCTCCATCACTTTGAGACTCCTTAGGGTAGTGATAAAGCGGGATATCAAATCCAAACTCTCTTCTTCTTCTTCTTCTTCTTCTTCTTCTTCTTCTTCTTCACCCAACTTTTGTTAACCATTTGGAATGTGTCTGCTTAATGAGAACATTCCTTCATCTCAGGTTTTACCCTTCAAATCTTACAAACTGCAAAACAACTTACTTTGAAAGGCAGAGCAGAGTTGTAATTCTCTGGTATCTCCCAAGAGAGCAATACTGATGTCTTCATCACTGCTTTGACATGAAAATTTTTTGCAAACACTGCTGGAAAAGGAAAAAGCAATGTATTTAAAGTACATCTTGACCTTGGGATCCCATCCCATTTCCGACACTAAACACACTCAACAATTCTCCTACCTGCTTTTAAAAACCATATCCCATTCTTACAAATGGCAACTCAAAACGTTCTATTTCTCTTACCTGCAATTATTGCGTAGATGTGAGCCAGACTTGCCTGATATAGGATAACTGAATACTAATGAATCCAAAACACGTAAGGTTTCACATACTTTACCTCTGATGTTAGTTGAAACTATTTATACGATGGTTTGGTCAGTTTTAGTAACAGCTTCAAAAATATCGATATCCAAAGACCGAAATTCCTTTAAAAGAAAAGTCATAAGCAGACAAATCCTACCTTGATCCACAGGTAGTGTCCTGAACTGGACACTGGGACTATATGGACCAGGCCCTTTGCTTGTGTGTGCACGTATTTTTACATCATATGTGGTATCTGGTTTTAAGCCTGAAAGCGTCATAGTAATATCAGCAGGAACAACAGACATCTCCGTTTGGTGATGTGCCACATTGATATCCCTGTACTGCAGAGTGTATTTGGTGATAATACCATTTCTTTCTGATAGGACGGGCGGTTGCCAAGAGAGCTGGACTGAAGTTGAGGTGGCACTTTCCGAGCGCAGGTTTTGAGGGAATCCGCTTGGCAGATCTTCTGGAATCGAAATTTCCTTTACCATCTCCTCCCCAAAGCCCACTTTATTTCTAGCTGAAAGCCTGAAGACATACGAAGTCCCCTTGTGAATATCTGTCGCGGTGTAGTGGTCATCCTTGTCGGTGAAATCCCGCGTCGTAAAGGCATCTATGTCTTTGCGGCCAAACCTCAGGCGGTAGCCCTGCAGAGGGCCATATGTGTCGACAGGCGGGTGCCACTGAATTAGAGCTGTACTCATTTGTGTGTGGCTAATCACAAGCCGAGGTTTTCCTGGAACTGCAACACAAGATGATGTTAGCAAGTAAAGCGGGCGAATGAATCATTTCTAACAAATTTATTCATGTGTCTTGAAAAAGTTATGTATGTGATGGACACACTGTTTCCTCCTGTTCATAAAGTGCCGTATTTCTCGCTCTATAAGACGCACCAGACCATAAGACGCACCTAGTTTTTGGAGGAGGAAAACAACAAGAAAAAAAATTCTGAATCCCAGAAGCCAGAACAGCAAGAGGGATCGCTGTGCAGTGAAAGCAGCGATCCCGCTTGCTGTTCTGGCTTCTGGGATAGCTGCACAGCCTGCATTCGCTCCATAAGACACGCACACATTTCCCCTTACTTTTTAGGAGGGAAAAAGTGAGTCTTATAGAGTAAAAAATACGGTATTCATTCAGACAGCACAACAAACTTAGGCATTTTGTCTTTCCTCCCTCCTTTCCCTAGCTTCTAACTGGAGGGCTGGGGGAGAGAAGCAGAGTGTCTATTTCTATGAAGCCTAGTGACAGAATAGCTTTTACACATGTGGACATAGTTTTTAAGTGATTAATGAAAAAAAACTAAAAAAAAAAATCCCAGAAAACTCTCATGTTGAGAAGGGGTGTACCATAGTGGCACATGCCTTGCATACAATAGATCCAATGTTAAAGTCCAGCATCTCTAGGGAGAGCTGGGAAAAGATTTGTGCCTGAAACCTTTAAGAGATGCTGCCTTGGTATAAGGTCAGAGTCATTATATGTTCATTTGCTAGGTTACTATGATCTAGTCCAATGGCAAACTTACCCATTTCAGATCTCTAGCCATATATGTGTGTGTGTGTGTGTGTGTGTAAAGGGACCCCTGACCATTAGGTCCAGTCGTGACTGACTCTGGGGTTGCAGTGCTCATCTCGCTTTATTGGCCGAGGGAGCCGACGTACAGCTTCTAGGTCATGTGGCCAGCATAACTAAGCCGCTTCTGGCGAACCAGGGCAGCACACGGAAACGCCGTTTACCTTCCCGCCGGAGCGGTACCTATTTATCTACTTGCACTTTGACGTGCTTTCGAACTGCTAGGTTGGCAGGAGGCAGGGACCGAGCAACGGGAGCTCACCCCGTCACGGGGATTCAAAATGCCGACCTTCTGATTGGCAAGTCCTAGGCTCTGTGGTTTAACCCACAGCGCCACCCACGTCCTATCTATCTATACATATACATATACAGATATAGATATATGAACAGGTTTGGTATCCGAGTTTGGAGGAGGATCTTAAACCAGTTTCTTGGTTCAAAACTAATGGAAAATGGTGGTTTAATAAATCAGACTGTACTTGCGAAAGGTGGGTGCCTGAGGGAGAGGACTGGGGAGGGAAATGTGCAGGCACAGAGCTCATTTTTGCTCTTGTAAAGTGTAGTTTATCAGACATCTGAATGAGGTCATTATAAGCATATATGCAAGTTTCCCACTCCATTGGCAAGCGACAGTGTTCAGCAGAACCAAGTGGTTTAGTTCTCTCTGGTTTATATCACTTCAGGCTGCAGGTTGGGAACAAGGTATACAAATAACCCATCTTAAAAACAAACAAACCCAAACCTCAGCTACTTAGCTTGCACATATAAAACCAATATATCTGTAGGAACATTTTAGTCTAGATTTCATACATAGGTGGAGAAGCAGTCAGACAGGCAACTCTTCCTCTGAATAGCACAATGAAACATTGTGGGGGGAAAGCATTATGACTTAATTTTACAAAACTAGCCTGGATTTCATACTTAGCCTGGTTTGCACGTAATGTTAAATAATGGTTTGAATAAACTATAGTTTATAAACCATGGTTTAGTATTATGTGCAAACCTAGTCCACTGCCTCAAGAAAGGGAAAGGACCCCTGACAGTTAAGTCCAGTTGCGAACGACTCTGGGGTTGCGGCACTCATCTTGCTTTACAGGCCGAGGCAGCCAGTGTTTGTCCACAGACAGTTTTTCCGGGTCATATGGCCAGCATGACTAAGCCGCTTCTGGCAAAACCAGAGCAGCACATGGAAACGCCGTTTACCTTCCCACCGGAGCGGTACCTATTTATCTACTTGCACTTTTTTTGGGGGGGGGTGCTTTCAAACTGCTAGGTTGGCAGGAGCTGGGACCAAGCAACGGGAGCTCACTCCGTTGCAGGGATTCGAACCGCCAACCTCCTGATCGGCAAGCCCAAGAGGTTTATTAACTAGGGGCAGTGCTGCTTTTGTAGAAAAAGAGGTGCCGGAACTCAGCTTGAACATCTCCCTTGTGGCTCCCACCTGAGAGGCGCCGGAACTGAGTTCCGGCAAGTTCTGACTAGAAAAAAAAGCCCTGATTATGGGGTTGCAAGAGAAAATAAACCATGGTTTGCTGTTTACTTACTGTCTTAAAACCATGGTTTAATGTGATGTGTGAACCTGAGCAGTGTCAAGCTTCTGTTTGTGATAAGTGATACACTATTGAAGTTTCAAACTTTGGCTAGCGAAAGGCTGAGAGCAGAGGTGTGAGCGTTTTTCCTGAGCAAAGCATATAAAATGAGCTCAGCTCTCCCTTAGGAAAAAAGAACCAAGTTATAAACTCTTTAGAGAGGTCATGCAGTCCATGCAAAATCCATGACCTTCACTAATACATGCAGTATATCTAAACCCTCCTAATGGCATAGGAGGCAATGTATGGCCCTGAATCCGTCCCACTACCCCCCTCCCATTTCTATCTAAATGCAACTCTTTATTACACACCAAAAAGAGTGTTTTCTTTTTTTAAAAAATGGGGCATGCCCAAGTACTAGCTATTATTAGCAACAATACACAAATACAGATGTTGTATAGCTATTTCCCACCTCTTCCTCACTGCTAACATTTTACTCTTGTGCAAATAGAATCCTGTGCATTGTACTGTACAGGTTTTCTCTTTTCTTCCCAGTGTACAAAGTATATCTCTTTGCTTAATTTTGACTATTCCCTACTGCTGCGTAAGAGGCAGCTACAGAGCTGAGAAAAGACTATAGATATATCTATTTCAGGCCCTATTTTTCACTGCATTATAACTATCACTGAAGCCAATGGAGCACAAGGAAAAGCAGGTGAGTCCACAGAAACAGAATAATAATAAGTCATTCAGATTTCTGAGAAGAGGGGCTGCAGGGAGCTGCCGCTAAATTATTTATACCGTAAATTGCTTTTACTATTGTGGCAGCTATCTGGGTTTAGACGATTTAAAAAACACACACATTGATCTGTTTTGCCTAAATATATATAGCCACGTGATGTGAGACTTACTATTATTTCTTTATGGCAGAAATAATAAATTGAAGTTGACTCATGTGCATTGTAAATCATTTGGTAAAATAAAAAGCAGATTAGAACATTTTGTCGTATATCAGGCTTATTATAGTGGCTAAGGTAAAGGTAAAGGTACCCCTGCCTGTACGGGCCAGTCTTGACAGACTCTAGGGTTGTGCGCCCATCTCACTCAAGAGGCCGGGGGCCAGCGCTGTCCGGAGACACTTCCGGGTCACGTGGCCAGCATGACATCGCTGCTCTGGCGAGCCAGAACCGCACACGGAAACGCCGTTTACCTTCCCGCTAGTAAGCGGTCCCTATTTATCTACTTGCACCCGGGAGTGCTTTCGAACTGCTAGGCTGGCAGGCGCTGGGACCGAACAACGGGAGCGCACCCTGCCGCGGGGATTCAAACCGCCGACCTTTCGATCGGCAAGCCCTAGGAGCTGAGGCTTTTACCCACAGCGCCACCCGCGTCCCTATTATAGTGGCTAGAATCCAACAATAGGGCAACAACTGATTGGGAAATTCTCCTGAACAGGCACCACCGAAATTGAGTTGCAGAACAGTACCGCAATTGTGTTTTTAATTATGAATTTTGGAAGTAGCTTCACATTTCCGGAAAAGTTAGTGACAGGAAGTTCAATTATCATTGCTGTGAATGACAACATCACAATCTATATATTTAAAATAAAATAAATCCATCTACAGGAATTCCTTCTGCACAAGTACTCAGCTTTTTCTGGTAGCTTTGTTAGCTTTGTTCATCCAAAAGCTACACTCTCAATCCTCATTGGGGTCTTGTCACCAGTTTTATCTATTTGGTAAAATTGCTTTAGTATTTCAAATGTTTTATACACTTAGGCCTTGGGCAGGCAACCTAAGGCCCGGGGGCCAGATGCGGCCCAATCGTCTTCTCAATCCGGCCCACGGATGGTCCGAGAATCAGCGTTATTTTACATGAGTAATAATAATAATAATTTATGATTTATACCGAGCCCATCTGGCTGGGCCTCCCCAGACACTCTGGGCAGCTTCCAACAAAACACTAAAAATACAATAACCTATTAAACATTAAAAGCTTCCCTAAACAGGGCTGCCTTCAGATGTCTTCTAAAAGTTTGGTAGTTATTTTTCTCTTTGACATCTGGTGGGAGGGCGTTCCACAGGGCGGGTGCCACTACCGAGAAGGCCCTCTGCCTGGTTCCCTGTAGCTTGGCTTCTCGTAGCGAGGGAACCGCCAGAAGGCCCTCGGCGCTGGACCTCGGTGTCCAGGCAGAACAATGGGGGTGGAGACGCTCCTTCGGGTATACTGGACAGAGGCCGTTTAGGGCTTTAAAGGTCAGCACCAACACTTTGAATTGTGCTCGGAAACGTACTGGGAGCCAGTGTAGGTCTTTCAAGACCGGTGTTATAGGGTCTTGGCGGCCGCTCCCAGTCACCAGTCTAGCTGCAGCATTCTGGATTAGTTGTAGTTTCCGGGTCACCTTCAAAGGTAGCCCCACGTAGAGTGCATTGCAGTAGTCCAAGGGAGAGATAACCAGAGCATGCACCACTCTGGCGAGGAGTGGAATGAGTCCTTTTATTTAAAATGCACCTCTGGTTTATTTGTGGGGCCTGCCTGGTGTTTCGACATGAGCAGAATGTACTTTTATTTAAAATGCATCTCTGGGTTATTTGTGGGGCATAGGAATTTGTTCATTTTTCTTTTCTTCAAAACATAGTCCGGCCCACCACAAGGTCTGAGGGACAGTGGACTGGCCCACGGCTGAAAAAGGTTGCTGACCCCTGACTTAGGCCTACCAGGGGCATATCCTGGGGGGGGGGGCGCAGGCGGCCCATGGTCCCATGTCCATGAGCCCGGTGCCCACATGCAGGCAACTGCAGTGTGGTTGTAGAGGGACTCAGGAGAGGTGGCAACTGCTTCACTCACAATATACTGCCAGTTGAAGCCGCCACCACTCTCTAGCCCTCATACCAGCCCTGGGTGATGTATCAATACATAGCCCAGGCCTATTCTCCATCTGCCAAGGGCTACGTCGGCTGCCTGGGCTCCACCCCGCAGGTGGCTCAGTGTGCCCCTCATTTTTCTCCGGTGGGGTTGCTCCGGTGTAACCATCATTGAGGGCTGGGCTGGCAGCCTCCATGCTTGGTGCACACACCTGCCCTGAGCACCGGAAACCGCTGCTACGCCACTGAGGCATGCCATAGCCACCTACACGAACGTTTTGAGTTTCAATTCAGAAAGCATCAAAGCACAAACTGCTGGTTGCAAGGAAATGAAAGGAATCTCCATCTATTTACCTGCACCAGTCGTGGACACCAGTCTGGGTTTGCTTCGTGCTCCATCTCCTTTGGTCGTATAGGCCGTCACAGTGAGAGAATAGGTTGTCTCAGGCTGCAATCCCGCTATTATCATTTCCTAAAATGAAGCAAAACAAAGACAAAAACCAGAATGCGTATTAAAACATATGCACTACTGCTAAATCAAGATCGTTTTGCCTTGCAATTAGTTGCAACATATAACAATCAGCGCACATGGCTGTCGTGCGACCTGCAGTGATAGCAAGCTTTTGGTCGGACCAGAATAGTGGGTGAGGCCTTGCAATGCACTGTATTTCACTTATGTCAGCAATAAGCGTGAAGGCATTTCTGAGCAGCATGCCCCAAGTCGATTTGTCAAGCAAAAGGCCAAAGGCTGAGTGCTGTTAACTGTACTAACGGAGGAGGGGAAAATCCTTTTGAAATTCACTCTGTGTAGAGTCTTATTCCTGGTGTCGTACAAATAAAGTGGGGAATGGGAATCAGGTTTATTTAAGAATTTACTAGCCCTTATTTAAAAAGTTATGCTATCACTGCCTGTATACCTGAGAGCCCTACTTACATTCCAACTTCTAAAGCTGTTTTATGCAGTGCTATTTTTCTAGAAAAAAAGGTGCCAGAACTCACCACAAACACCTCCCTTGTTCTCTTAGAATGAGCACTCACACTTTACATTGTGGGTGCCCTTTACAGGACCGCACGCAATGCTACAGTCCCCAGGGAGCTTACTGGCAAACAGGGGTTGGCTTGCCTCTCAGTGTTAATTTTTGGAGGTTCACACCCAGCCTGTGATTAAGTTTCTTGCTGGGAGGTGGGGCCAGCCCCATTTACAAACAGGGGGTGGAACCAACAATAGCCAGGCAGTCGGCTCTGGAGATTCACCCTCCCTACTCTCCCTTTGTTTAATGTTTCTTGTTTGCAGGTTAACTTTTTCTTCCTGTTTAGCGGGCGCTGCTACCGTCTTTGACTGGTTGCTGTTGAAGGACCAGGAATAAATTCCCCGTAGCAATTTGTCACAGCTTTGGCGGTTATGGCCTTGGGTGGAATTCTTTAGTCTTTTCTTCCCTATATTGTGTGTGTGTGTGTGTGTGTGTGTGTGTGTGTGAAGTGGTGACTCACCCCCCTGCGGCGGCGATTCCAGGGTCCCCTCTTAAATGGGTTATATATATATGGGTGTCACTGTCCATACACTGAAAGGTCGTCAGTGAACTACCCTGCGTGTGGGTTTATGGGCTGGGCTGCCTGCTGCACTGATGTCTTGCAGAGCACCCCCATATCTCATTTACCCTAATAAGCCCCAGTTCCCCCCGGCTGGGGGGCTGGGAGGGATACACGCCCAATGCCTAAGCCAAGGCCTTCCTACATTCGGAAGTTTAATAAAGTTGTGGCCTAATTTTAATTCCATATAATGTTGTCAGAGTCTTTATTCCTTCCTTATGATCCCTGGGGGCTGGGGCTGTTGCTGCCTGGTCACACAATGGCAATGGTGCCCACTTGAGAGATGCCAGAACTGAGTTCCAGTGAGTTTGGGCTGAAAAAAGCCCTAATTTTATGTAATATATGAAGGCTGCATTCATATGCACTGTTCCCAGAAGTAAGCCCAGCTACTTCCGAGTAAAGCATGCATAGGACTGGACTGCACTGTTGTAACCCTCCACACTACTATGAACATTCATTTGATGTAAGCCCAACTAAATGTAACGGGGATATTTTTAAAGTTAATATGCACAGGATTGTACATTAGAAAGCCTTTTCTTTTAGTGATTAAAAATAAAATATACATACACTTTTATAAAAGTAGTGTTTGTAAAGTGGCATTCAATATAAGAGTAATTCGTTCTCTATAATCTGAAAGAGCCATTAAACATAATTTGAAAATTTGGTTGCAATGGAACAAGAGAAGATGGAAAAGGCATTTAGTATTGAATACAATGTGTTTCTTTTTTAATAAACAAAAGGGGATGAAGATTAAAGCATGTTTGAAACTGGCTCTGAGGGCAGGTTGAGAAAGTTATAAATCAGTAACAATCAAATTGCTAATTACTGAGGAAAGGCTCATAAAGTGAACAGAAGTGGGAACTAATGATGTTTAATTTACAGACTAGGTATCAAGAGTATGATCCAGCCAAAATTAAGCCTTTTAAGCCCACTGATTTCTATATATGTGCTTAACATGCTCCCATTGAAATCAATGGGACATAATTTGCATTGTAAGAAAGCATGTTCTTAGTTCTTTCTTACTTCTAGTTAGTAAACCCTATATGCACTTTTTTCAAGACTAATAAAAATGGCAAAGTTGGGTTGCAAATGGGGTTTCATGTATGGATGGCAGAGTTTGCAAACAGATTTGTTATTAAACAGAATGGCTATAAAATGAATAGCTTAATCAACTCAGAGTGCCCATGTCTGGAGACTTTCCATACATTAGTAGAGCTCTGGTTTATTCGTGATTCCACCTATCATGGACAGCACAGTTGGCTGTTACCATCAACAGAAGCCTCTTTTCTCCCCCTTAAATCCAGTTGTGTTGCTTATGTGCAAAGGGCTGAAAATAGGGATTTTTGGGTCATGTGACAATCACCTATATATCAACACTGTGCTCACCCTAGGAGTAGATTGAGTCCTTTCTGTAAAAAGTATGACCTAGCCTCAGAAATACCATACTTTTCCGTCTGTAAGACACCCCCTATTTTGGGGGACTCAAATTTAAGAAAATGGGGGAGATGGCACAGAGTTGTTGAGCTTGTTTTTGCAGAGGATTGCCTAGTGTTTCAGAGCTTTTTTTAGAGGGGAATGCCAAAAATTGCTCATCCGCCCCCACATTGCAAAATCTGCCTCCCTTCTGTCCCATCGCCGGCAGAAGCTGCCAATCACCCACCCAACTGCCGAAGCATCAGCCAATCAACACCACCCATTGACACAGCAACCAATAACATGCACAATAGCTGCTGACAGCCTCAGCAGCAACCAATCAAACATCCACCCTATGCACTACCCATGTATAAGACGACCCCCACTTTTTAGCATGATTTTAAAAGAAAAAAACATAGTCTTATACACGGAAAAGTACGGTAGGTTGCTTGAGGTTTGTAAAATGCTCATGTATGTGTAGAATCCATGAGTGCAATCACCCAGTAAGATAACAACAACGAAAGAGTCGTATTAATGGATAATAAAAATGGGTTCAGTAATATGCATCTGAAAAATGCAATCCAAGGTCTTCACACTTGGGCATTTGGTCATTCTATGAATAACCCTATCAAGCATATGGATTTAATCCTATGGGACCACACATCTCTTCCCAGTTAAATGCTTTTTTAAAATGTTCGTTTTCAAAGACTGAATGTGGCAGACTGAATCTGAACAAATACTGAATTATCCACAAGAAAACAATGTGTGTGGATATTCAACATCAGTTCACTGACTGACAACATTTCATCAAATGGAGAGAGGAAACTAGAATATAGATCCATCCTCAGTTTCTGGGGCTTCAGTTACAAGTGGAAGAGACAGTATTGGTGGGGGAAAGAGTACAGATTAAAGAGTATCTTTTTAAATGGAGATGATGGAATCTTAGTTAATAATGATGGAAGTGATATCTGCAACAAAGCTGTTTAAACATCACTGGCACACAGCCAGTACCAATGTATATTTTCACAAATATACATTTAATATGATGTGTCAATAATGGAAATGGGCACCATGTTAGCAGCTAAAAATAAAAGTAATTTGTTTTATAACAAACCCTGAGTGCATTGGGACCTGAAGGTGCAGAGTTATCAAGCAGATGGGAATGAGTACATGTTTTGTGTTATTTTAAGAATAGTTTCCTGGAGTGCATTGCGAGATAAAAGTTAGTGTCAGTGACTGAACAGATGAGTATGCAAATTCAACACACTTAGAAAAAAATCAGCACTACGCCAAACCAAAAGGAAAGAAAAAAAGAAGGCAGAAAAATCCAGATGCCATAGATGATGAAATAAGGTGTTAATCCATGCACATGTGCAAACAACCAAATGTAGGAAAAATAAAGATTAAAGCAGAGAAAAAGCCACCACACTTTTTTGATTGGCCAGTCAGTTTTTACTCACATGTTCAGTAGTATCATCATATTCCCACTAATTGAGAGTAAAGGATGTTGGGAAGAAAAACAGAAGAGATAAGGAGATATTTGTAGCCTGGGCTGAGGCAACTTTATTCTTAGGACAGAAAAAAAAATATCGTAAAAACTAGCTTGCAAAAAATCAGCCTGGATTTAGCTCCTTAAAAAAGCAGCGTGACTTGTTGCCAAAATTGTAAATAAGTAACAGACTCTCCTCCTTCTAGGAAAGTAGAGATCCCAGTCTGGAGTGTTTTTATTATTTCATAGTAATGTTTCATGACTGCATTAATTTGAGCTGCTGAGATGTAATGAAAGGCTACATTTTGTTTAATCACATGCTACTAAGCCATATTCATTTTCATTTCTATTTTACCTTGTCAAAATTAATTCAGTGCACCTGTTTAGATTAATAGAGGCAATTTATATGTACTTGAGACTTCATGTCAGTAATGAAACCCTATGACCAACAGCACATTTTCTCTGCTCCTTCTATCATTTAAAAATGGAATCTGACTATAGTCCCCCCCCCCCCGGAAAAATAAATATGTTCAAGAAAGACACAACACGACCATATTGTTCTTCCCTTTTCTTTCTTTTTTACATCATTGCCCAGATTCACAATGAAGTAAAGGCAGGAATAGTTTGTTCTAATGGTGCTAAAAACATTGGTGAGAATAAGGAAAGGGGCTAGCACTTTCAGAAATCATTTAAGGAACACATCAGCAAAATAGAAGTGATTTATATCTCCACAGGGGAAAAAAGTTACAGTTCCTCTTTGAATGTACTGTAGTTATCACAAATTGTTTCCATCTAAACTGTTTAGAGCATAATATCTGATGATTATGATTGTCTATTCCCATGTTTTCATCCAGAATCAATCTTAAATGGAATACTTTTGTGGGATACATATTTTATGATACCAGCACAATGAACTCAAGAATTTCAAGCTCATAAAGCACATAGAGATAATTAAAATCCTATATTTTTGAAGCTTCCTTAATGTGAACAAATCTATTCACTCAGAACATAAATTCTCTATTATCTGTTACAATTTGTGAGAGAAAAAATAAGCAGTTTTACACTTTCACTACATCACACCAGGAATATCTGTAATAATATTAAATCTAGACATAACTTGTTACTAGGTCAATTTTCATTTAAACCACACTCCTCTATATTTAATGTATGTAATTGAGTTCAAAACCTATAATACCAAACTCTAGCTGATACTGCACTTGATCCAACCAAAATGATTTATTTCAATGGAAGGGATTTAAACAAATGCTTAGCTTAAATGATTTGAAATTAATGGGACTTAAAATGCTTAACTTCAGTTGGGTCTTGCTCACGGAGGTAGTGACAAATTAATGCAACAACAGGACCCAGATTTTTTTAAAAAATAAAAATCCTACTGATGCAATTCCTGGAAACAGGTTAGAAAATTCCTGCCAGTCACAAGAAAAATACATGAAATGTTAACTAATAGTCATAACATTGAGAAACATCTTATTTCCCCTTATATTACATGAATGTAAAGTAAGAGGAAAGTAGACACAATTGATCTTGCTTATCAAATACACAACAGATATAGTTCCCAGTCTAGAAATCCTTTATGTGAGGCTATCCCAGTGGGGTACAGGATCAGGTTTAAGGTGCTGGTTTTAACCTTCAAAGCCCTATACGGCCTAGGACCCTCGTACCTACGGGACCGCCTCTCCTGGTATGTCCCACAGAGGAACTTACGGTCTTCAAATAAAAACATCCCAGGCCACAGAGAGGTTAGGCTGGTCTCAACTAGAGCCAGGGCTTTTTCGGCTGTGGCTCCAATCTGGTGGAACGCTCTGTCACAAGAGACTAGGGCCCTGTGGGACTTGACATCTTTCCGCAGGGCCTGCAAGACGGAGCTGTTCTGCCAGGCTTTTGGTCGGGGTTCGGTCTGACTCCCTCTCCCCTTTCATAAGAACTTGCATGAAAGTGGCCTCCCAATTTTTCTCACAGGCCCATATAAGTTCAGCACAAACAGTTGGGCCTGGTGAGCATTTAAGGTCCCCAACCCTAATCTGCAGGTTGCCATCTGATTGGATTTTATTCTGATCCTGATCTGATTTGAGGGTGTATTTTAATTGATTGTCTGATTTTATGTTAATGTGCTATACATTTGATGTTAGCCGCTCTGAGCCCGGCTTCGGCTGGGGAGGGCGGGATATAAATAAATTATTATTATTATTATTATTATTATTATTATTATTATTATTATTATTATCCCAGCCAAACGGGGAATTGGCACTGTCTCTTCTGATAGTACCAACGACCTAACAGAGAAAGACAAAGGCAGGACTGAAAGTTCAAATTCTGCATTTCAGGTGCACATCTTTAGAAAGGGTGGTTTCAGCCCACTGCAGTGCGACTGACTACTTCATACAGATTGCTGCAGATCCAGAACGGTGATTTATTTATAGGAATAAAAGTTTCAGAGGTAGGTAAAAGTAAAGGCAAAGGACCCCTGGATGGTTAAGTCCAGTCAAAGGTGACTCTGGGGTTGTGGCACTCATCTGGCTTTAGGGCCGAGGGAGCCGGCATTTGTCCACAGACAGCTTTCTGGGTCATGTGGCTGGCATGACTAAAGTGCTTCTGGCACAACGGGACACCGTGACGGAAACCAGAGCGCACGGAAAGGCCGTTTACCTTCCTGCCACATTTATCTATTTATCTACCTGCACTGGCGTGCTTTCGAACTGCTAGGTTGGCAGAAGCTGGGACAGAGCAATGGGAGCTCACCCCGTTACGGGGATTTGAACCGCTGACCTTCTGATCAGGAAGCCCAAGAGGCCCAGTGGTTTATCCACATGGTCTGACTAGCGCAGTTGCTTAGAGCATGGGGCTGATAACACTAAGGCTGAAGGTTCGATTCCTGCATATTGGATTAAATGCTCCTCAGGACATAGGTGTCAACGTTTCCCTTTTTTTAAAGGGAAATTCCCTTATTCCGAATAGGATTCCTCGCAAGAAAAGGGAAAAGTTGACAGCTCTGCCTCAGGGTCCCTTCCAACTCTATGATTCTATGAATTTTATGAATGACTGTTGGCTTGTGAAATATTCAGGGCACTCTGTTGGAACAGGATATATAACCTATTGGAACAGGAAGGAGGCATTCCATTTTGCAGTTCAAAATAGAAGACATAATTACACTACTAAATACAGTGGTACCTCGAGTTACATGCGCTTCAGGTTACATACGCTTCAGGTTACAGACTCCGCTAACCCAGAAATAGTGCTTCAGGTTAAGAACTTTGCTTCAGGATGAGAACAGAAATCGTGCTCCGGCAGTGCGACGGCAGTGGGAGGCCCCATTAGCTAAAGTGGTGCTTCAGGTTAAGAACAGTTTCAGGTTAAGAATGGACCTCCAGAATGAATTAAGTACGTAACCAGAGGTACCACTGTACAGCATTATTATTTTTTGTTACGTGAATTAACAGAGTATGTTTAATTACCTGTGCATCAGCCAACATGATATCCTTCAGCATGGGTTGCCCCCTGGGCTCTCCATTTTCCATTTTCACATAATGCACCTGGTACCCTCGGATTTGACCATGCTGCTTATTGGGCACTGGTGAACGCCACAACACTTTAACAGCTGTAGAGTTGACAGCCTCTACCTCGACTTTGCGAGGAGGACCACTAGGAACTGGAACACATCAGTGGATAAAAGAAGAATTACAGGTACTTGTCCAAAACAACCAGTGTCTTTTTCTTTCTTTTTCTGTTCTTTTTTTTTTTTTAAGCGCAGACCCACTAATCCTTCCTTGAAGAATACAAATGAAAACACCCAACAAATCTGCTCTACATTTCAGTGAAAAGATCAAAAACCATGACTGATGCAAAAATGGAAGAAAAAAGAGTATTAGAGAAATAGAAAAAACATGTAAAAACGCACAAAAGCCAAGGAAGATGCTTTGAGACTCAAAGCATTGAAGTACAAAGAAGTAATTTAGTAATCAAAATAATAAAAACCAAGAAGACTTTTAAAATGTTGCTTGTTTTCTGATTTTGTTTATTTATTTATTTTAAGTAGGGGAAAAAAGATAACAGGAAGGGGTGCAATCTTCAGTGTCCAGATACGAAAGAGAGTCAGCATCCAAAATATTTTTTTAAAAAAGGGAGCAGCATCAGTTTTCCAAAAGAGAAACGCTTTAAGGGTACTCTTAAAGAAAGAGTTAAAATCAGAAGAGCGAAAAAGTAAGAAAGAAAAGGAGGGGCGAATCTTCAAATAGAAGAAAAATATACACGCTTACAAGGGGCAAAACTTTAAAGTGTGATTCTTCTGCGCATATATTTCAAAGCAAAAACAAAACAAATGCAAATGCAAATGCAAGCATTTGTGTTTAAAATATTTTGTAAAACTCATCAGGGGTCAAAAAAGATGAGCAGAGGGGGGGAAACGGAATAATCTTAGACCACACAAAGACAGCAGATTGAGAGAGAGAGTCAAACTGACGTGTTGGATGAAACATACCATCTTCATCTGTTCGGATCAACACAGATTCACTCTCTGGGCCAGGTCCAACATCAGTGTGGGCTGTCACAGAAATCCGATATTCAGTCCATTTTTCCAACTGTTCCAAAAGGTACTGTGACGTGTCCGGAGCAATTCCCAAAATTTCGTGGGGCTTGTCATCTTCTCCATCAATTCCAGTGTACTTGATGGAGTAGGAAGTGATAATTCCGTTCTGTTTTTCCACTGGCGGAGGCTGCCAACTTACCAAAATACTAGTGGAGCTGGGGCTCTTGCAACTAATGTCTTGAGGAGGAGCTGATGGCTCTAATTTCAGTAGTGGGTTAAAGGAGGATTTGAGTGTGAAAGAACAGAAGTGGTTGAAGGAAAAGGAAAAAAAATGAACAAAAGGAAAAGAAAAAAGAAAATAAATAACGAAGGGAAAAACCAAGGGCAAATAAAAATTGCAAACTTAAAAACAGAAACTTTAGATAATCTTATGAGCCTTGGCTTATTAAAAGTGAACCAACTGAAAATGAATGAACTAAAAGGTGGAAAGGGATGTAGGGGGAAATACATGAAAATGAGCCTCAATATATTGTTACCTACCTGTGATTAAAAATTCTTCTTGAAATAAAAACATCAAACATGATACTTCTATGTGTCTACTACCTAAGTTTTTATATTGTATGCTTGCTGGTTGATTTGTTATTTTTAAGTTGTTGTTTTTTTTAAAAAGAAAAAAAATTGGCATGTCTGACAAAATAGTCAGTCTATTATACACTATGTTTTAGATGATAGATAGATAGATAGATGATAGATAGATAGATAGATGATAGATAGATAGATATATCATATATCATATATAGATGATAGGTAAAGGTAAAGGTACCCCTGCCCGTATGGGCCAGTCTTGACAGACTCTAGGGTTGTGCGCCCATCTCACTCAAGAGGCCGGGGGCCAGCACTGTCCGGAGACACTTCCGGGTCACGTGGCCAGCGTGACAAGCTGCATCTGGTGAGCCAGCGCAGCACACGGAACGCCGTTTACCTTCCCGCTGGTAAGCGGTCCCTATTTATCTACTTGCACCTGGGGGTGCTTTCGAACTGCTAGGTTGGCAGGCGCTGGGACCGAACAACGGGAGCGCACCCCGCCGCAGGGATTCGAACCGCCGACCTTTCGATCGGCAAGCCCTAGGCGCTGAGGCTTTTACCCACAGCGCCACCCACGTCCCATATAGATGATAGATAGATCTATATATCTATCATCTATCTATCTATCTATCTATCATCTATCTATCATCACCAGTCTTTTATACACTATGTTTTATAGATTGATATCTATATCTAATTAATATATATATATATAATTATATAAGAAGTGCCATGAAGAAAAAAATCAGAACTATTTCGAAACTCAAACACATCTAATAGACATAAAATAAAAACCATCACGCACCACTAGGTTTCTCCCCCCCCCTCCCCGTCCACTTGTCTTTATCTTTTCTTTTTTTACGACCGCAGTGGCCTGGAACAAGTGTACTACAATTAAGGTTCAAATCAAAAGTATTTATTCAAAACATCAATTGTAGCCAAAACACTGTAAAACATGCAGAATCAATAAGGGGATTATGCTAATCTGAGACAAAGGTTTACCTACCATGGAAAAGTGACAGGGCTGATGATTCTGACTGCAACTTGTACTTACCCTAGGTCCAGTCTCTCTTTTATATTTTAGCTCCTCTTGGAGAAACCTCGGCTAGCAAAGAATTAAAGTCTACCAGCGATTTCATAATACATACAAACTAACACCAACCCACCGCCAAACACAATACACGAACAGCTAATACAGAAGTTTGCCTAAGCAAAACCAGTGTGGAGATTTCTAATGAAATCTTATGATGTATTTTACTTAACCAAAAGTTAAATTCATTCGAAATAGAACCAAAATGCATGTCCACAGTAGTTTAGAAGCAAATGTCATCAAAATCTTAACACATTCATCTCTTTGGGGTACAAATCCTATCCACACAATAATAATAATAATAATAGATTTTCCTCCAGTTGTATACACAGAAATTACTTTTAAAAAATCCATTTTATATTTGAAATATTTGGGGAAATTGGGAACCTTGACCTCTTTCACATGCATTACTTAGAAGTCCCACTGATCTCAACCTGTCTCCTCAAGTCCTTTTTTGCATCTCTTTCCCAGGTAGCAACACAGAAAATATTTTTATTTTCCTGTAATTCCTCCCTCTGAGACCTAAAAAAATACATTTCCTAAACATATTTTTAAACTTTTAAAACTCAAAGCGAAAGATGAGCGATCCACCTTTGTCTGTCTCAGTTGCTTCTGAGGATTCCAAAAACATATTGGCTGTGTCTAGATTTCACTATCGACCATGGTTACAGTATGGGAAGAAGCGTTGGCAAGTCTTTCCCCTCCCACTTCTGTGTGGCCGCAGGGAGATGAGAAACTTTTGTTTCTATTTTTGATTAACTGCTGCTTGCAATTTTGTCCGAAAGCTGTGGTTAATCGTAACAGTTGTTTCGATGAAACAAGCCAGCTTGATCACGCCACCAAGGTTGGCTTGCTTCAACAGAGCTTACTTAAGATCAACCACAGTTTAGGATTTAGGCACAACACAAAACGTCGGTTGAATGTTATTTCTTTATTTAAACAGTTTTATATACCCCTTAACTACAATAGTCTCTAACTGTTTTATAAAGTTACAGTGCAAAATAAAAATAAGAAATCAGCTAAAACTATAAAATTAAGCTTCAGTTAAAATGACTTGCTGGAATAAAAAAGTCTTCAGTAGCTGCTGTAAGTTCAGGAAGGAGGGGGCCTCTTTTGACCTCAACTGGAAGGGAGCTCAATAAATTTGGGCTCACAATACTAAATATGAGTTGTCCATCCAAGCCACGGGGGGCCGCTAATGGCGACTCCCCAGAAAACCTCAGTGATCAAGCAGGGATATAAGGAATTAGGCAATCCTTGATGTATCCTAGACCCAATCTGTAGAGAGCCTTGAACCTGGTTCAACAGTGTAATATAAAACAGAAATGAAAGCTTTCAATTTCCTCAGTTATACTAGAGGAATGTCAAGGGGTGGGTGTGCGAACCTTAGACTTGCACAGATTCATAATTGTATGATAAACAATGTCTGAATGCACCCTTTGTCTCGTGACAGGGGTTGGGGGTATCATGTTACTCTTCTAGGAAAATGCTATGCTTATAGTTCTTCAAAGTGTATTGACCTGCGTGTTTTTAGTTAAATTTTCTCAATGTAGCCATAACTGAAACATAATAGGATTTCACTCACTTGCCAACTAGCTTGTCAACAAGTATAAAGAAGAGAAATGAAGTAATCAAAGAAAGACACCTACTTGACTGCATTGTTCTAGCTGATATTTCTGCCGTTGAAGCACCGAGGCCTTGTGGAGAGCGTGCAGACAGACGGAAGTAATACAAACTATTTGGTTTTAGGCCTTGCAAGTGGTAAGTTGTAGCTGGATCAATGGAAATCCGCTGCTAAAGGGGAAGTCGGAAAGGGGGAAATGAATTTAAATCTAGATCTTTGGGTCTTCGCTTCTAAAGAATTTCTAACACTCAATCTCAAAACGTCTATTCCAACGTAAGGAACAGGTCACAACCACGGCCATCACAGTGTGGTTCCAGCTCCAGGCACAAGCCATTGCATCTGGAATAGCTTCATTACACTAAATCCTAACTTTCCAGAATGGTACCTTACTGGTAAGTGGTTGGTGCCTCTCCATGTGAAGCTGGCTGATCTACATCAGGCACAGGGAATCTCTGCTTCGCATGCTAAAGTAGTGATTCTCATTTGCCTGTAGATATGTTTGTTTCCCAGGCACACCCACCCACCCTACACCTGACATCAAATGCCATCAGATGTGGGCAGGGTAAAGCAGCAACTGCAAAGGAAAAACCAGGAGCCCTAAAGTGTGCTCCCTATTATTCCTTTGCACACAGGGCTTGCATTTTGTGCCTTTTAATTTTGGTGCAAGAAGAACTACCACTCAAATTGGCTCCACTTGGAGGCTACCAACCAGAGCCGACTCCTACTGCCACTGGGGTTTGTATTTGGGGCTGGATTTAAATTCTGTGCCAAATACAAGCCTCTGGAATCAGCTGCCGATTGGAGCTCACAAATGGAGTTGATTGGTGCAAAGGAAAATGCTTCCTTTGCCTGCACAGTCTGGAAATCAAACCATGTGGGCCAATGAACATTTTGCTTTTGCACGCTACCCTAAATTCAATGCAATCTACAAAGAGATGGCCCCACCCATCTGTCTAAGCAATCAGTCCATGGAGGCTAGAGGACGTCAGAAAAGAAAAGAAAAAAACTATTTTACCAATATCTTCCTTCTGTTTCAAAGCCAACAGTAAAATATGCATCTGTACAGTTATACTTGTACAGTGGAACCTCGGTTTTCGAAAATCTCGGAAGCTAAACATTTCGGAAACCTTGAAGTAATTGCTTCCATTTTCAAATGCACCTTAGAAGTCAAATGGCTTCCACTGCGTGTTTTTCTTTTTTCTCAATGGATTTTGCTGACCACTCAGCTTTTGAACATTTTGGAAGTCGACTGGTCTTCTGGAATGGATTACATTCAAAAACCAGGGTTCCATTGCCTTTGTTACAGAAATCAAGATGGCCACTTATGGAAGTATAGTCTTGGAATTACAGAAGAGTTTAGTTAGACAAACCATAGTTAAGATTTTTGAAGGGGCTATAGTTAGACAAACAGAACAGTTTGCATTGAACTGTCTTTACTCCTTACATTATAAATTTGAACATCTGGAATCAGAGCACATTTAGGGTTGTAGAAAAGATAATTCAGGCTGCAATCCCATGTGCATTGAATGGGGCGTACATCTGACTAAACAAGCAACCGGGTAACCTTCAACTAACACGAGGCTGACTACCTGTCTATCAACTTTCAAGGCCTGTAAAATGTGTTTCAAAGGTGTAAAGCTAGTTCACTTACCTCTTCTCCATGCTCTCCATCTTTGTAAACAAGATCATAGTTGGAGATTGTGTCAGACCGTGGAGGGGTCCAAGAAAGGAGTATGCTTGTTTCGGATTCTGGTTCAGCTTTGAAATTCAATGGCTGCCCTGGGACTGATGCAGGAGAACACAATATCAACATTCAGTAAGTACATTTACTGGGGGCAGTGGGGAAAATTAAGAGTTGTTTCCTGCAATTACCCGTATTTTTCGCTCTATAAGACGCACCAGACCACAAGACGCACCTAGTTTTTGGAGGAGGAAAACAAGAAAAAAAATTTCTGAATCTCAGAAGCCAGAACGGCAAGAGGGATCACTGTGCAGTGAAAGCAGTGATCCCTCTTACTGTTCTGGCTTCTGGGATAGCTGCGCAGCCTGCATTCGCTCCATAAGACGCACACACATTTCCCCTTACTTTTTAGGAGGGAAAAAGTGAGTCTTATAGAGCAAAAAATACGGTATATACAGTGGTGCCCCGCAAGACGAATGCCTCGCAAGACGAAAAACCTGCTAGACGAAAGGGTTTTCCGTTTTTGAGTTGCTTCGCAAGACGATTTTCCCTATGGGCTTGCTTCGCAAGACGAAAACGTCCTGCGAGTCTTGCGATTTTTTTTTGCTCCCCCCCTTTTTCTAAGCCGCTAAACCGCTAATAGCCTTTTAGCCGCTAAGCCTTTAATAGCCGCTAAGCCGCTAAACCGCTAATAGCGCTAATCCGCTAATAGGGTTGCTTCACAAGACGAAAAAACCGCTAGACGAAGAGACTCGCGGAACGGATTAATTTCGTCTTGCGAGGCACCACTGTACTCCATGCAGACCACCACTTCCAGGTTTAGATTTCTATTGAAGACCCACTAATGGAAGCAGCCAAATTTCATTTCCAGTAGCGTCACCTTCCCAAGAGCATTCCAAAACATGCATTCCAAACATGTCACTTTCTGTTGCGCTGTTTGCTCAGCTGGGAATTAATCACCCAGATAGTCCTGTTCTTTATTGCAGTTAATACTGTTGCTTGAGCAGCCTTTCTTTACACTGTCAACATACTGTTTACCAGACAAAATGTTTCTGCACATTGCTTTGATCCAACAGAGCCACTCGAGTTATGACAGTACTCTATATACATGACAAACAGGAATAATATGAACTTCTCTGTGTCTTAGCCAGATAAACCATCCCCTGAGCCTGCCTGTTTCTTTACTAAAGGTAAATGCAGGTTTGTGCTTACTGCTTAGACACTGATAGGAGAAAACATGACTGTTAGATACTATGCTAGGGGGAAGAGGGAAAACCCCGCTCTTCTCCACACATTTGGCAATTTAACACTGTAAAACACAACAAAATCCTATGGGCTATTTCAATCACAATCTCATAGGAGCAGACCGTCTCTTTAAAAGTTTGTGATATGAAAGGAGTTCAGTAAATAGGTAAAAAAGGTAAAGGTAAAATACCCCTGACACTTAAGTCCAGTTGCGAACAACTCTGGGGTTGCGGTGCTCATCTCGCTTTACTGGCCGAGGGAGCCAGCGTTTGTCCGCAGACAGTTTTTCTGGGTCATGTGGCCAGCATGACTAAGCCACTTCTGGCGAAACCAGAGCAGCATACGGAAAGCCATTTACTTTCCCACCGGAGCGGTACCTATTTATCTAATTGCACTTTGACATGCTTTCAAACTGCTAGGTTGTTAGGAGCTAGGACGGAGCAACGGGAGCTCACTCCATCGCGGGGATTTGAACCACCGACCTTCCGATCGGCAAGCCCTAGGCTCAGTGGTTTAGACCACAGCGCCCCCCGCGTGGTCTAGGTACTTGGTCACAAAGAAGGAAAGAGGATCCAGTTACTCCCTCCCCTGCCCCATGAACAAACATAGGGCTTGCTCCTTCCATATTTGCTTTGTGTGCTGATGGGCACTAGGGCAGGCATAGGCAAACTTGGTCCTCCAGATGTTTTGGGACTACAACTCCCATCATCCCTAGATATCAAGACCAGTGGTAAGGGATGATGGGAACTGTAGTCTTAAAACGTCTGGAGGGCCAAGTTTGCCTATGCCTGCACCAGAGAATGGCCCTTTTATGTGGCAGACCTTTGTTTTTTGTTTTGTTTTTTGCAAAACTCTCTCCCAAGAAAGATATGGCTCTACATTACTAATTTCAGTGTGTTTTGTAGATTTTCTCTTCAATCTACCCGTAATTTTTTATCTGAATCCAATACTGATTTATGTTTACTGTAGGGATGGAGAACTCCCCACAACTCCTTCAGTGCCCTGTTCTTTTCCCATCAACTTTTAATTCTTTTGCAATTGCTTTTTTCTCCTTAAATTTTTTGGAGGTTTATTTTATGTTTTAAATGTTATATATGGTATATTTCACTGTTGTAAACCACTTTGAGACCCAGATGGTGAAAAGCAATATTTTTTTTTAAAAAAAACAAACAACAACCATAAACAACAATAAAATAATAATTCCTGACCATGGGTCATCCTGGCTGGAGCTGAATGGAAGCTTTGAAGGGAATGTATTGTTATGAGTTTGGGGAGCAGGTAGGCTGTATGCTGGAGCCTGCTTCCAATTCCTGGATTCGGTATTGATTCAATTCCTGGAATAGACAACTAGCTTATACTTTTACTTATGTCCCTATAAGTATGGACCATTAAGGAAAGGAAGGGGCTCTGTGCCAGATGCCAAGTGAGTATGGCCCCCCTCCCTCAACTCGCTGGTAGTTAGAAAGCCTGATTCTTGTTTGAATCAAAGGCTGTGGGCTAGGGGACACCCTCTTGGGGTTTTCATGTTGTAGTGGTGTTGAGTCAAAAGTGTAACTGTGCTCTCCAAGTTAAGGATTTCTTTTTAAAAAAGCCCTAATTATATTTCTGTATAGCTTACAATCCAAATATCAGTGTATCAACAGTTACTTTGCAAGGACTAGTATGCAGTGTTGGACTCTGCTGGTAAAAATGGAGATTCAAATAGTGACTCAACCATGAAGGGTACTGAGGTCTTGACAAAGTTATTATCCGTAAGGATTACTGTAAGTATAAACTTGATATAAAGTATAAACTTGATTCATGTGCTGCTTTAAAAAAATATTTTTAATTGTTGAGTCTATGAGAGCTGTGATCATACTGGACAGGCAGTAAGGGCAGGAGATATATATATATATCCCTGACATGCATAAGTAGTAGGATGTGCTGGATTTCAAGTAGTTGTTCAAGTAGTTGTTCAATTTTTATTTTTATTTTAACAGGTCAGGGACGTTATATTCCCAGGAAGTTATATTCAGTGCAGAACTTTCATTTTTCATTAAATATTTGTCTTGTGAGGTCATTTATCATTACAAAAGCAGAATATGGAAATGGAGCTTCTGAAGGAACTTGAGAAAGTTTCAACAATATATAACTATGTGATTTACATGCAAATGGAAACAGCGAACAAATGAAGTTTCAGAGGGGCTGTTCATGGCATAAGAACTGTTAAAGGTATGTACAATCCACAAAAATGTCAAAACTATTCATTAGTGAATAAACATCATGGTAAAGTCAAGAAACATAGATCCCCAATCCAACTCACGGCTTAGCCATCTGGATTTAGAATATGCTTTTTAAACACCTTGACTGGGTTCATCTATATTTACCTTTGACTTTATTGCTTAGAAAGTCAGATACCAACCCTCCCACCCCAGCCGTACCGCTGAGAACTTTCTAGAGTTTTCCTCTTACCTCCTGTCTGAGTGATGACTTGAATGTCACTAGAAAGAGGCCCATCTCCAACGGAGGTAAAAGCAAGAACTTTCACAGAGTAAGTTTTCTGTGGTATTAGATTCCCAATGGTGGTTATATGGCTGTCGGCCACATTGTGTTTCAACCAGCTGTTGACATGTTGGGAGGGGTCCATGGTGTAATAAACTCTGTAGCCTTGTATTTGTCCGTTGGGTTCCTCGGGTTCTTCCCACTGCACCAGTATTGTGGTTGAGCTCAACATACGGGCTTGTACATTGCGTGGTGCGCTAGACGGTGCTTGCTCCGAGGTCCGCGTTGAAACCGGTTCACTGGGTGGCCCCCGCCCAATGTTGTTGACAGCAACAACTCTGAACTCATACTCAGAATAAGGACTCAAACCGGCGACGCTGTATCGAGTTGTGGCGACTCCATCAATTTCCTTATAGAGTTCCTCAGAGTTTTTAGGTTTATGTTGGATTATGTAATAAGACACTGGCTCAGGGTTTCCAGAATCCCAAGTCAAAGTGATGCTTGTTGCTGTGCTTTCTGTTACAACAGGAGTTCCTGGAGGTTTGGGTAAGGCTGCAAGAAAATAAAAGACAATTTATTCAATTGGCAGGAAATTACACCACAGCACCATGACTAGTTTTTTAAAAAAGTATAGCAATGTGATTTGGTGAAGGGACACATACAATTCAAAACAGAATGCTGTTTTATTCAAGTACTGTCGAAAACAAAAACAAAATATTATGGGGAAAGCATTTTGTTGCGACAATAATTTAACTAAACATTTGCAAAGGAGAAAATTGATGTTGCTCTAAAATGGCAGCATCAGAGGCTTGGGGACTTTTGGTTCATATGCAGAAAATTTGTGTTGCCATGGTAAAGATTTATCTGTTGTTGTTTTTTTGAAGCAGATTGTATGCCCCTTACCTTTCACAGTTATCTGTGCTATTGCTTCTATAACACCAAGAGTAGACATAGCAACACAAGTGTAATTTGCAGATTGCCTGACGTCATTTAGCTCCAGGACATTCCTTCCTATTGGCATGTCATCTTCCGGGGTAAGATCTTCTGCTCCCAGCATCCATTTCACATATGGCATTGGAGACCCCACAGCAACACAGGTGATGTTAACACTCCCTCCGGGCATAATTTCATGGTTGGTGGGTGGGATCGAAAACCTTGGTGGGACCCGACGAACTGGAATAAAACACACATAAAGCTAATAACCCATACAAAAATGGGGAACATAGATCTTGCACACAAGATTACATGCATTTATAGATACACTTTGAACGATTAATTGCTACTTTTATTTGCCGAAAATAAAATATAGACCAGACAGGTATATTGTCTGTACATATTTGTTTACATTTATTCATCAATATCTTTAACCACATTCATACAAAGCTTCCCCCCCCCACCCCAGACCTAGTAGGGCCTCACAATTAACTAACTATATACTAACAATACACCAAACACCATGCAAAAGATACACACACATACACACACATATATATGCATGTATATTCTGTATGCATATGTATACATATATATGCACAGAAGAAAACTGGAGAGTTGACAGCATGCTTGAGTTGAGTATCAAAACCAACTTCAACGCTGCACACTTCCAGCTGATGTGAAGAAATGTGCTGCAACACATTGTCACATCACAGCCCTGAAACACATCACCTACGGTACATGGAAAAATGCAATTCTGATTTGCTGTCAGACTCAAAAAGTGGATGCAGCCTCAAGACCTCACACTAACACTGAAACAGACATGGGATATATATAGATATATATATAGTCACAGGAGAAGAAACAAGGCAAAGCCAGTATGAGTACTGGTTTTGGTCATGCAGGCAAGCAAATGACAAGAGTCTATAGGGAATCATGCTTAGGGAGGAATGATAGGAGAGAGAGAAATTGTATAGGGAAACAAAAACAATTAAAAGGAAAGGGGAAGGAAACATATTGGGATAGAGAATAGGTTTTTTTAAAAATGTGAAGGCAAGATAGTTTAAAAGAAACAGGGATATTAAGAGGGTAGGACAGGGAATAGGAGGATATTTGTTTAAGCCTGGGATTATTATGAAGCAAGTATACGGTGGCAGGGAAGGAGAAGAACATTAAAACATTCCGGGTTCCATGGCGTTCACACAGAGGGGGAAGCAAAATAAGCTGCTAGGATTAATAATACTACTAAAAGCAGCTCTACGTGTACAAAATGAGGGACAGTGATATCTAAACTATTTAGCAGCAGGGCATTGCATTAACAGAGTAGTTAATATTTAAGAAAACACAACACTGAGAAAATTACCAGGCAATAACAGATCAGTGTTCCTGCTTCAAATATTTTCTGTGTGCGTGTGTGTGCATGTGTAGCGCAAGAGGCAACAGAAGCCTGTGCTTTCATTGCACACAATACGCTGTGCTTTACGGGGGCCTTCAAAACAAGGATGTCTTTGATTCAGCAAAATAAACAAACCGATTCGTAAATAAATGGCTACGGTCCCGGCCGGAGAACGTTAGTCATAATCACGCCCCATTGAAATCAATGGGAGGTAGGTTAGTGGTCATTCAATCCGTCCACTGAAGTTAATGGCAGGGGGTGGGAATGGCTTAGCATTATACGCCGACAAGTGTGATTTAAGAGCGGCGAACTTTCGCTGGATTAAGGGGCTACGAATACAAAGCGATCATTTCATTACCCTTTGCACTGAATTGAGATAAATTTCTAGAGATTCGATGGGGGCTTACGGTGATGGCCTCGTGAGTGAATGGGACTGGCATAGGGAGGACAAAGAGCGAAACATGCCTTCAGCAGCCAATCAACCGAGGTCACACAAAGCAAGTGAGGGGCAATGCAGAATTTGTAGTACTGAAAGAAAACGGAAAACGGAAAAAGAAAAAAAAAACTTAGGAGAAATATTAGTCTTCATGCTTGGGCTGCTTAAAGGAGCATCTGCCGGAACTCATTCCCGTATCAGCAGGCATTAAGAACGGAAATCAAAGGGAAATAAAATTGAAGAAGGAAAAGAAGATAAAAAGAAGCAGGAACACTGACCAGATTGACAACTCCTTGAAGTGTTAAGCGTGTTACTGGCTTGCCATGCACCCAGCCTCTCTCCCTCTGTCTACATGCACAACGATACCAGCACACATTAGAAGCCATGACCGGGGCATTCTCTGCTTAAACATAACATCAACTTAAAAATAAAAAGGCCACAATGCAGCTACATTCATTTCATTTGTATTCTTTGTTATTGGTTTAATTAATAGTTTTGTAAGGTGGGTAAAAAAGTAAAAAACACACCAACCTTCTCGCAGCTCTGAGGGATGTAGGGGGTTTGATGCAGAACACAATGAAATGAGGAAAGGAGAAAAACAAGGGAAACACAGAGAGAGTAAAAAGGCCATATCAAGGCTTTCAACTGCTACTTGAACAACTTTTACTTGTTCTAATCAAACCTTACTGCCTCAGCTCTGACCGTAAGCAATTTCTCACAGCTATCGCGGTATTAGGAGCTAGTATCATTTGAGTGGGGAAAGGGGAACTCCTTCAAGTCGTAACGGCACACATGCCTCATGCAAGAAACACTACTTTGAAAGGAAAAGGACCAGATAGCTTCCTAAGGAGGCCCAAATAACCTCCAAACCCTTTCTAGTCAGAAAGCTAAATCATAAATATATATTATAAAAGTTTTGTACGGCGTTCCCCACACCAAAGTAATGAGCTAACAGCTGTATGAACCAAAATCTTCCCTCATCTTTTCCCCCTCCCCATTCCAAACCACCCTTTCTTTTTGCAGGGAGACGGGATTATTTGTATAAATTATATAGAAAAGGGGTGCTCTCATTTCAGAGCCCGACCCTGGAAACGGTGCCAGAAAGGAGGCACTTTAAATATATAAAACTAAGAGCTTCCATAGGTTTAAAAAGCAATCATGCCTGTTACCCTTACAAGAATATACTTTTAATGAATTTATCCTTCCAATTCATATCTATCAAAAAAGACAAATCTCTCGGCACCCCTCCCCCTTTTGAAAAATACAAAGAACAGCCAGTTCATTACAGCAGTGCCAGGGATTACGTATTACTGATAAAACTTCAATTTAAGAGAAAGTATGTATATATATATATATATTTATAGCTCTACGAAACTAAGCTTAAAGAAACAGAGAAGGCAGGCCACACCACTGTCCTCTTCGGCGAGAATTTCCAAGCTAAGAACTTTTCCTTTTCAGCTCAGAAGCAGAGGTCATGTGGGTACAACACACCTCAGCGCCCCTGAGTTTCAATTAGAGCTAAATTAGTTGCACAGCAAGCAATCGCATTAGGAATTATAAACCAAAGAAAGGAGAAGAGGAAAACCCAAAAATAAATGCAACGCTCAGGTCAATAGTCAATGCAGGAAAAAGTAGAAGTCAAGATGTAAAAACGGAAGCATACTTACAAACCTTAAGTCCACAGGGGTGGATTGGACTCAAAGGTGCCTTTATTCATATTCCTCCCCTCGTCAAATTCATACTCTAAGCCTTTTCCCCCAATGTTTATTTTACTTCCCGCCCCCCACCCCTTTGCCCAGATACTTTGCTTATTACTGTAGTTATGGCATAGACCCCGAGAGTAACTTAACGCCCCTTGCGCCTGACTGAAGGGTAGATACCCGGGTTTATCATTCCTACCTCTGACATATAGATTGGCAGGGGCAGAATACCGTGTCCCTGCACTGTTGGTTGCAACACACTCATATTTGCCTTGGTCAGATTCTTCACTCAGTTCGATTTGGAGGGCACCTGTAAGGATATAAAATACATTGCCAAAGAGACTGTCAATGAAGGGTTTTTCAACTCCCAACGACACACCGCTTAATAATAATGAAAAGCCCTGTATGCGGAGGTCCACTCAACGTCGGTTCATTTTCTCGCTACAGTGGCACAGACAAAAAAAATAAATTATGATGTGATGAAAAAAACAAAGAGATTATTTTTTTCACACCATCAATGCTAGCACAGGAAAACAATCTGCATTTGGCAAACATATTTTCTAGCACAATATACTGTTTTCTCCTAGACTATTAAAATGAAGATGGGTGAGACTGCTTCAAGGAAATATGGCTTTAAAACAAAGCATAGGATATTAGGTCATAGGGTTGTCACTGTTTAGCTTATTAGATTATTTTTTTTATTTGTTTATTTGCGCAGCAAAAGTAATAATACAAAAGGTGGCACTCGGCAAAAAGAAGAAAAAAGAAGAAGAAAAAAAGGGAGAAGATAGGTTTCAAGAAAGTCTTCCGCTGAAGAAGGCCAAAAATGTGCAGCGAGTACAAAAAAAGGGCTGCTTAAAGTGAAAAAAGAAACAAATTAGTCATTTATAGTAATCAAAATATTCCTTTAAAGAAACAAAACTCCCTTAAAGACATGCAGATTGGTAAGAAAAAGAAAGACATTTCGCCACAACTTACAATCTTTTTAGTGCATTTGCTGAAAAACAAGAGCAGTTGAATTAGGAGGCAAAAAAAATGTTAAAAAGCAGGGGCCAAGCCAACAAGGAAGAAGCAACCAATCACTGCTGAGGACCATCGGGATGTCAGCCCTAAGACACCCATCAAAATCCACGGCTGGGATTAGCAGTGTGGTGTCACAAAACCCAAGAAAAAAACAAAACAAGAATTACAAAAGACATGAGCAGTTGTTTTTTTAATATAAAATGATTAAAAACCAGCAATACCACATTTTATCACCAAGAATACTGAGTCATCAACCTTTCCATTTCCAAAGCCTGAAGATCAGAAGGATCCAAAAATCCAGAGATGGGTAAATCCAAGAAGAAAAAATATATATATAGTTGCTGTAATTTATTAGGGAGAAGAATGTGGTGGGTTTTTTCTTGTTGTTTTACTTTACTTTATTAAAGTTAAAAGAAAAATATATAATTGAACAAAAATAAAAAATAAAATAAACCCCCTTGAAAGACAAAGTTAAAAAGTAGATATTCCATGTTGTCGTCTGCATGTCTGCAACTGTTCTCCAGACCATCTTGGCTTGGTCCAAAACAAGAACAGCTAAGGAAGAAAAAAAATGATCTTTTTTTTTTTGCTCCAGTCGGACCAAAAAAAAAGAAAGAAAAAAAGGGGAAAAAAAGAGAAAAGAAAAAAGGTAGAAAAAGAAGAAGAAAAAAAGGAATAGAGGGACAAATGGTACGCTGTGACTGGGTTGTGTGGCCTGAAGACCCGGATATGCTTTCTTTGAAGCATATCACAAAGTAACGAATCTTTTTTGAAATAAAAAGAAGAAAAGAATGAATGAATGAATAAACACAACTTTTTTTTTCTTTTCAATGAAAAGTGAAAAGGATGGTGGGGAAAAAAAACCAAAACCACAAGATGGAAGTCACTGATCATAACTCAATAGGAAGAAATAAGGATGAAGGACATTTCTGTAATGCATTTGTTTGTTTTTAAAAATGGATATAATGGAAGGTATGAAAGGACAGAAAGAATAAGATCATTCTGTGAACGTTAGTTCAGCACTCTTACCTCTTATTGGTGTACCACCTGGGTGGATAATATGAATGCAAATAAGATTAGAAAGAAGAAGCATTAGTACGAGAAGAAAGAGGCTAGGGCTTTGGAAGAAGAATCAAATTAGAGTTACAGAATTAAATAAGGTCTTAAAAGAAACTTGAATTTCTATACTGTAAAAACAGGAATATATACTTTTAGGTACAATTCTTAGATTATAAAAAACAAAATAGCAGTGTACCAAACTGGGCAAAGGCCATTATTTTTGGGGGGAAGTGGCAAGGCAGATCATTCTTACAAAAGCTTAGGTGTTTGGTTATATAGGGTTAAAATATATATATTGCATAGGCCTGAAATCCTAAAAGAAAACCTTTACAACACTATATTTAATACATAGTTTAGGAAGAGATACTGGATAACTATTAAAGTGAGAAATATATATATATAGTATATGAAGATATATATATATATATAATAGAGAGAAAGAGAGAGAGAGAGAGAGAAGAGGCTATCTGGAAATAAATACTGATTATGTTGGACTCACTTGTCATATACTGCACTACAACTAGGTGATACTTGTGTATTGCTCCTTCTAACTTGAGAGTTACTAGGACTGATACGACAACATTTCTGTGAAGGGTTGTGTGTGTGCCGCTACAAAGGTCCGGTGGCTACACTGTCTGTTAGTAAAATGCATGCCATGCATTTTAAGAGTAATCATCATTATAATAATACCATAATCATAGTATTCTGCATATGAAAATTAGTGGGGGGGTGAAGTGCGCTTCAGAACTAAGCACTTACCAATAGATTCTGGAGATTAAAATACGGAGAGAAGAAAGACAGCATAAAAATATTATTATATTCCTTATAATTTGGTACAAAAGTTTTCAAGTTAAAGCTTTATATACTAAATCATCTACGTCACAACTGAAAATTGACTTCTAGTTTTACATTAACAGAAGCTTAATCTACACAGTTCTGCTGACAACAAGCATTAGCAGTTGGTTAACAAGACGGCTTAACATCACAGGACAGGTCAAAAAGGCTGAAAGTTCTGGGAAGATATATGGCTAGGCAACTTGATTCCGCGGGAAGATCACTATCACAGCCGAAGTAGACTGCTAATTATATATCCCACCCTTTTGTAGTATATTAATATGGGAATAAGCTTTACATTTAGTAAATAATTTAGAGTTATCTTATTATGAAGCTGCAAAGACCATCAGGTGGAGTTGAAAGGAGTCATTGGAGAAAGAGCAGCGAAAGCCGGACTCTACTTCAAATACAGGCTTCTGTAGATCTGGACACGCTAATATTGACAAAGCTTTGGGTTTATGCACACTACTGTGACTAAATGCACCAGAAAATAAATCTCAGCCAGTAAAAATCTCTCCCTTCACAGGCTAACCCATTGATTTGAGATTTTTATTCTTGGTTGGCTTGCTTGCTTTGGGGTCAGGGAGGATGTTAAGATAGTGCACATGAGAAAAGTAGAGTGAACCATGTACTAGTGAGAGAAAAGGAAGATGTGTCCAAACTGTCTAATCTTTGGTGGATTCAAAAGGTTGAAAAGAACTCACAAAACACAATTGTTATAGAATATTTTAATTGTCAAATAAAGAAAAATAGATTGGGTTTGATGGATATAACCATTGGTACTCCTTGCATATTCTGAAGTCCAATGTTGAAATAACTTTTTAAAATAAAATAATAATAATAATATAGATAGGGATAGAGAGAATGGATCTGTCAAATACTGCCAAAACGCAGTAAATAAACTGAAAATATCAAAACTACAGTCACAGCAAGTGAGCGTTGTGGAGTAAACAGAAGCTGCAAGACACACAAACAAATAGACTTTGGAAACAGGCTATGACGATAACACAGACATGGACAACACGCTCGACAACATAAAAAAGAAGAAGAGAAGAAGAAATCATAACCTATAAAATAAAATAAAAATAATTAAAAAGGAACGTAAAATAAGAGAGAGTATAATTTTGGGCATTAGTGCAAACAGTAACAAGACCTTACCTGATCGTAATTGTTTGATACGTCCATTGTTGTTGCTCGTGTCCACGGGTAAAAAATCTTTGAACCAAGTTATTTCAGGATCAGGATTGCCACTGGCTGCACATAACATGGTGGCCGTTCTAGTGCGTTCAACCACCTTTAGTTGCGGACCCATATCAATGGTGGGGAAACCACGAGGAATTTGATCCTCTGAAAAAGAGATAAACATCAGGTTTATAAAACATTTCCTATCACAGCTACATTGCTAAATCTGTGTTCCAAACATACTGGGTTGCATCCATTGTTGTCACACAGCCAAGAGTTAAGGCTTCCATCAGTGGAAAGGAGTTGGAAAGTTTTTTTGGTTGTGTGTGTGTTTGCAATTTCTCCCCATTCTCTCTGCACTCTATAATCCTCTGAATCTGGAGCCTTTCTAGAACAGATGGGGCAAAGGAGGGAGGTGGGTATCACTAAAAGATACACTGACGAAAAGCTTCCATCTACATTGGTACCTTGGTTGTCCAACAACTTGGCTCCCGAACAAATCGGCTCCCGAACGCCGCAAACCCAGAAGTGAGTGTTTCGGTTTGTGAACGTTTTTCGGAAGCCGAACATCCAGCGCGGCTTCCAATTGAGTGCAGGAGGCTCCTGCAGCCAATCAGAAGCTGCGCCTTGGTTTTCGAACTGTTTCGGGAGTCAAACGGACTCCCGGAACGGATTAGGTTTGACAACCAAGGTACCACTGTATTGAGCAACACTGTTTAATACAACCAATTTTGTCTACGGTTGGAGAAAACTATTTGATCCTGGTGTATTATCACTCAGCATAGTTTAAGCAAACCACATCTTCCCAAACTGGGATCTTTTGGAAGAGTCAGGATTGCTGACCCAGAGGTACAAATTCAAATCTCACTCAGGTGCATGGAAGCCTCTCTTAGGTGGCTATTTGGATCCATATCTGATTAAACAGGTATGATCAGAATAAGCATAGATCCATAACAAAAATGTCCAGACATGTATGGTGTTTTTGGGTTTTTTTTATTGCTTATTGTTATGAGGGGGGGGGGGACTTCTCTTTTTCCCTTATGGGGTTCCCAAGAGTCTATATAAAGTCCTTTTGTAGGTTCTCTATTGGTAGGAGAAAATAACAGAGACCAACCAGAGAATATTGAGAAGCAAAGCAGCTAGTAAGCCTGATCTTTATTAAAGCTGTTGCAACAGGGTGCCCCCTTACACGCAGGAGAGAGGAAGAGGACCCAGAGCCATGTGTGCAAGCCCTTATATAGACATTTTAAATTGCCCACCCTGGAGTCCAAGACCACCCCCAGAAACATCATACATACATCACAGAAGGTTTGTAGCCTAAGACCACGCCTCAGATACATCATACCTACATCACAGAAAAGGCGGTCTACGACAGAAATCTGAGTGTGTTGTTTATCTCCTGTCTAGCAAGTTACCTGATTGCATTATCTGGGTTTTAGCCACTCTTTTGTTATTATAACTACTTAATTCCTGAATCTAGGTCACAGGTGACAGGCTCACACTCTGTTCATATCTTGAAGGTGCCCTTAAGACAGGATTTGTGAGGATGGGATTTGTGAGGAAAGAGACAATGGGGAGGTTTCCCACTTTGACCTTGCAGAGAAACATTTGAGGTCAATTTATTCAGGACCTTTTCTGTGGGGTTTCAGACATGTGGTTTATATATACAGTTAAGTATGTGTGTGTATATATATATATATATATATATATATATATATATATATATATAACCTTAAAATTCTTATAACATTATAAAGGCTTCATTGATTTTTTTAAAAAAGCAGTACAGCCATTTCTTATTTTGCTTCAAGATAACCCACCAATAGAAAGAAAAAAGACCAATAACTGCTGTATAATGCATCCTTTGTTATTAAACATCTTGCTTGGCTGGTATTGACATGCAATTCTTTAAGGAATAAAAATAATTGACTACAAATTGTCCAATGTCAAACACATTACTTGCTTTGCCATGAAATGGTGTGATCTTTTCACAAAGTTGCAGCAAAGCTTTCGGAGGCATCTGAAAAACTTGGAGGGATATCCTTGGATACTTGACAAATCTCTGCATTCCCTGGTGACTTCCTTCTCTCCAAGGCTATTTAATCACTGACAATGTGAATGCACATAAATATTGCTACCAGAGAGTGGTAGTCACTAATCTTCTGCAAGTGTGAATGTCTTTTTATCTCTGCCAATAAGCAGGAAGTGTTAAAGGCTGACAATGTTAGGCCATTTGCTATAGGCTCTTACCAAAGAAACCTACATTAGATAACAAATTATAAGATGTGAAGCCTTTACCTTGGGAATTGCTGATAAGGTTTGACTTGTGCCATGCTGAAGTACTACTCTAATGCATTTGCATGACCTTTCCATTTCCTTCTTGGCTCACAAAGAACACTCTAGAGGCCCCTTTCTCATATAAACAAGCACACAACAAAGATAATCTATCTTGCATACTAATAGGGTGGAGTAAGCAAAGAGCTTCTCTCTCTTATTTTTAATAAGGGTAATTAAATTCTATCCATTCCTCTTGTGCACAGAACCTCTCCGAATACACGCTCGTCATTAAATTTTCATGAGAAACATCACAATGTAACAGATTCAAATAGTCAGAGCTGTTATACTTTGACAGTTGTGGCTTATTTCCAATCTGGCTGTCAGGTATTTGGCAATAAAACCCAGTATTCAACATAAAACGGACTGGGGAAAATAATGGAATTTGTAATTGGAATGCTTATCTCAGTGGGTGTAGTTTATAAGACGTTAATTGCTTTCTGTTCTACTTTAAATTTATTAGTTATTTCTACAAAACCTGTCTTTCCAGTTTGATGGCACCATGTTTGACAGATCATCAAACAAGATGAACAATCACATCAATCAGCAATTATACTACAGCCACATATACTTTTTTGGGGTGGGGTGATGGGAATAGCTAGTAATCAATACATTTTAAACCTTAAACATCAACATGAAGTGAAGAGGAAAAACATTTTGTCTTCTTCACTAGTTTGTACATTACTGTCATCATTAGGATTTTAACTACAATGTCCACCACTTTTCATTTTAATGTTGTCATGCTGAATTAGCTAGTAATTCATCAACAATTTAAATCAGACCTGACCTTCCCAGAGCCATATGACAGTGTCATTTTTACAGGCCATTAAAGGGCAGATTACTGTGCTCAGGGAGCAATATGAGTAATGTACGTATTTGTTTATGGTGGCAGCTACAAGAAATTTGGAAACATGACATATTCTTAGCATTTGCAAGGTGTCTTGCTAGTAAATATGTTCTGCTACTAAATTTCTAATTCAGTTTCAGGGATGTATCCCTAGCAGTCCATCAAGCTAAAGAGTTCCGAGGATGAATTTTGAACCAGATTAAGAATCTTTAAGGGAAAACACCACAACACTGTCTTGCATGGGGTCCGCTGCGTTTATATTATGTTTTCAGAAGGTGTGCTCCACAATTTTTTAACAGACTTATCCCTTATCCAAACACAAGAAATTAGTACCCAAACCTCGCTATACACATCACAGATTCAGATATCCAAACAGCTGGACCTGTGTGTAGTACTGTAAACAGATAAGAAGCCTTAAACAAATCTTACTTTTTTGTGTTTTGCTGGTCTACCGCAACTGTTTCAGCAGAAACCATGGTGGAAGGGAGGGAGGGGAAGAGATCAGACAAATAAGAGAGCATTTCTTCCTTCCTTGTTTGCCTTTTGCAAGGTTTCAGAGGGTTTCCCTGGGGTTTCCCAGGTTGCCTGTTCACTTTGGGGTCAACATTCTGCGGTTGGGAATGCATTAGAAATTTTCCCATAGGAAACCAATCATCAACTCTTTAAGCCATGGGTAGGCAAACTAAGGCCTGGGGGCTGGATCCGGCCCAATCGCCTTCTAAATCCGGCCCGCGGATGGTTCTGGAATCAGTGTGTAGAATGTGTCCTTTTATTTAAAATGCATCTCTGGGTTATTTGTGGGGCATAGGAATTCGTTCTCCCCCCCCCCCAAAAAAAAATAGTCTGGCCCCCCACAAGGTCTGAGGGACAGTGGAATGGCCCCCTGCAGAAAAAGTTTGCTGACCCCTATAAAGCAAATGTTTGCACAACAAATAGTTTTCTGAGAATGTATTGTGTTCAGATAGTAAGACCTGCATGCACTGACAATACTACACAGAAATCATTTACTTGGTGCATTTGCAACTTACAGAACCTTATCTGCCTTCACAATCTAATTTGCAGCTTTAGTCAATAAATGCACGGACTAGATTCTCCCAATCTACAGAAAAACAAATATTGAACAAGGCACTGATTCAGTCCCCACCCATTCTTTATAAAGGTTGAAACTCACTGCAAATTTTGAATGCATAAAAGTCTGCTCAGATTATCCAGAAGGTAAATGTTCTTCAGGTATGTGAGCATGTATTTGAGATTGTGATTCGAGGACTCGACCCCCGCTTGGGAATAATAAAGACACATGGACACAGGATATTAGGTTAATGGGCTAGAAAAGGCCACAACTTTATTGATTACAGCATGTGAGAAGGTATTGGCTTAGGCATTGGACAACAGCAGATTTGACTCCACCCACTTGGGGAGGGGTGAGTCTGATGAGGGGTTAATCACTAGTAGGGGGAGCCTGTTCATGCAAATACAACTATAAGCTCTCCCCTGATGTCACCGAGGGTCGTGCCATGGCCCTCCGCCACACAGGGCATCAGACAGGATCCACGACCGCCGGATTCCTTTAACAGAATACCCATAAGTGAAGGGGTAGGCGATGGCCACACCTTGCCCTTCCATATACCAACAACACATTCCAATGCCTAACCGCCAAATACCAAGAAAGTTGTGACGATTGCTACGAGGTAGGCAAAAAAACCCCAAGAGGCTGGTGCCAATTTGCCAAATGGAAAAAAAACTCCTACCAGGCCCTGGGCAACCAGGGCGACCAACCATAGGGCCATAGCAAGGTCGGGCAAGAAGCTACGCCCTAAAGGGAGTGGTGGGTGGGTGACTCGTGGAGATCGGCAGTGCAATGGTGGAGAGAGCTGGCGCGGCCGCATTTGAGTGGCTAGACCACGCCCCACAGTGTCACCCGATTGGGTGCCCAGCTGGGAGGCGTGGAGCGCCAGTGATGATGGCAGGGCAGGGGCTGGAACAC